CCTGGGGTCCTGGCTTCTCCCTGTTCATGCAAGGAGTGAATGAACAAGGCCAAACCACTCCCTTCTTGTTCCCCTCTGCGCTGTCCTCTTCTTCCTGCTCTTTGTCCCCTCTTTATGCCAGCAGGGCAGGGAAAGGGTTTGCTGCCAATTACTCCGTTTACTCACTGGTGGCTTACACTGGAGAATGCCCCCCCACCAGTCAGCCGTGTTATTAAACCTATTCTCGAAATCAGCAACTATTTGACAGTACATGGTGCTAGATAAACTGTGCTAGATGCTACGGAAAGCAAATCAGATGCCCTGATGTTCAGCCTTTCATAGGCTTGTACACTTGCTTTTACTGCCTAGCCAGCACCCACTGCCCCTGCGACTCTGCTTCGGAAAACAGCCCCGTGTGGTCCCAGTGGGGCTGCCTCTGCCCCCAGCCCCAGAACAGGTGATCTCATGCTCTTGCTACAGCAGGTGGGCAGGCTCCAGCCACTCGGTGAGCTTGCCTCTGCCCACTGTGATTCGTCCAGAGCTCACTCAGAGTGAAGTCAGGGTCTTCACCTTTAAAAGTTTATTCTTTTTTTTGGCCTTGTCGCATCTTGCAGGATCTTAGTTCCCCGACCCAGGGACTGAATCCAGACCCTTGGCAGGGAAAGCTCTTGAGTCCTCACCACTGGACCACCAGAGAACTCTGAAGGGTTTATTCTTTTTGATGTGAATGAGCAAGGCAATCTGTCACCTCAGGGGCTGCCCTCATCCCTCTTGTAGCCATGAGGAAGGGCAGCCTCAGCAGACTGACACGTGGAGAGGGCAGGGCTGAGAATCAGAGGAAGGGAAACAGCCCTGGTCAGACCACCCCTGTGCTTTGTCCTACCGCTGGACTTCTTCCTATTACATGAGCTAATAATTCCCTGCATCTTTTTTGAGACAAACTTTTCTTATCACAGAAAGTATCTAATTGATACTGCTTAGGATATATGGCCTTCCCTTGTGGTTCAGACAGTAAAGAATCCGGTTGCAATGCAGGAGACCCAGGTTTGATCCCTGGGTCAGGAAGATCCCCTGGAAGGGAATGGCAACCCACTCCAGTATTCGTGCCTGGGAAATCCCATGGACAGAGAAGCCAGGTGGGTACAGTCCATGGGGTCGCAAAGAGCTGGGCACAGAGAGACTAACACTAAGATACACGTTAATAAAGATAGGAAGCAACCAAGGCCATAAAAGAAAATGAGAATAAAATACTATGAATTCAGAGAAAGAATTCTTGAAATGAGGGAAAATAAAGGCTCTATGGAAAGGCTCTTTCCAGTAGTCATGTATGGATGTGAGAGTTGGACTATAAAGATAGCTGAGCACCAAAGAATTGATGCTTTTGAACTGTGGTGTTGGAGAAGACTCTTGGGAGTTCCTTGGACTGCAAGGAGATCCAACCAGTCCATCCTAGGAGATCAGTCCTGGGTGTTCATTGGATGGACTGATGTTGAAGCTGAAACTCCACTACTCTAGCCACTTGATTCGAAGAGCTGACTCATTTGCAAAGACCCTGATGCTGGGAAAGACTGAGGGCAGGAGGAGAAGGGGATGACAGAGGATGAGATGGCTGGATGGCATCACCAACTCAATGGATTTGGGTTTGGGTGGACTCCAGGAGTTGGTGATGGACAGGGAGCCCTGGAGTGCTGTGGTTCATGAAATCGCAAAGAGTCAGACACGACTGAGCAAGTGAACTGAACTGAAAGGCTCTATGGAGGTGACACAAACTAACTTTACTTAATTGTTTACTTAACAATTAATTGTTTACTTAAGTTACCAATTATTGGTGTCTTACTAAATCCAGACCTCGGGCTATCATTTTAATGCATTGGCTTATTTAATCCTCGAAACAACCCTACAAGGTAGTTACTTTTTATGAAATGAGACTAACATTTGTCTTCTCTTCCAGAATAAAGCAATTCAATTCTCAGCTAAGAACCACCTGCAATAAAGATTTCATTTCCCAGCCTCTCTTGAGTTACAGCTACAAGATAAAATTCAGGTCACAGAGATTAAGCAGAACTTGTGTTTCCAAGTTTTCTTAAAGTTAGGGGCCTCTTATGCCTTCCTCCTTTCTGCTGGCTGGGATGCAAAGATCATGGCAGGAGGCCAAGCAGCCATCCTGGAGAGTGAGGAAGCCACACACCAAGGATGAGGGCGAAGAGCCTGGGTGCCCTGATCATGTTGCGAAGTCTCCCTCCCCAACCTGGCCTGCCTACCTAGATTCCTTTTTAGAGAGAAAACTTCGTTTGTGCAATAAGCCAAAAAGAGTATTTTGCGTTTTCTTTCAGAGTTGAATCAAGGTCAGACTGACACATTAATATTATCTCCACTTACAGAGACGAGAAAAGCTTACCCAGACACATCCAGTGTGAGCGAGGGTTCAAACACAACTCTGATTCCTTACCTCTGGGTTCCAACCCTCACCCAGACTCCCTTGAGAAGTACACAGGATTTGTAGAGTGGGTAAGAAGGCCTTGCATTTTCCTTACAGACCGCCAGGATTTCCTGGCATGGCGAGGACTTCTCCTTTAGGAGAGGATGATTCTGTCCTGTTTTATCCCTGAATTGGCACAGTCTCCCCCCAATCCCAGTCTGTCTTTGGAATCACTAACCACAGCTGCTTCCCCCGAGGCTGCTGCGAAGGCAGGGATTTAGCTCTTAGTTGTCCAAGATAAACACTGCTGGGAACACAACCCAACCACCTCTCCTCCATCCAGGAAAGTCCTGCAGGTCAGAAGAGACTGCTCAGACTGGCACTTGGCATCAATCTGAACTTTGATGCTGTAAATCAGGCAGAGAAATGAAATGATCAGGGCAAACCAGCATGGATAGGTCCGGGATCCTGAAATACTCTTCAGCTCCTCCAGAGCAAAGCTGCAAGACTGTCCCTTTGCTTTAGATGTTATGAACTACCAGAGTATGGTTCAAAGTGTTCCCTGGGAAGAACAAATTAAGACCATCATGGACTTCCCACGTGGTCCAGTAGTTAAGAATCTGCCTGCCAATGCACAGGCCACAGGTTCAATCTCTGGTCTGGGAGGATCCCACAAGCCACAGAGCAACTAAGCCAGTGGGTCACAACTACTGAGCCAGTGCTCTAGAGTCCATGCTCCACACCAGCAGAAGCCACCACCACGAGGAGCTGGGGCACAGCTAGAGAAAGACTAGCAAAGACCCAGTACAGCAAGAATTTTTAAAAAGAAGATCATCATTGTAAAATTGCAATGTGTGTGTATGAAGCTCCTGGGAGCACTCACTGAAACTGAATGACACAGATGCATCAGGACAACTTGGGAAAACTATTTACAACTGGTAAAACAGTAACCATGAACTTGGCCTCCCCAAGGCCAGGGCTGCTTTCAGGAGAACTTAGGGTGTGCTGGAGAAGGTTCCAAAGGACTGTTAACTACACTTGAATCTGCTCTGAAATCCCACACGCGAGGCAACTGAACAAACTACTGTGCGCCAATGGGGAGATCCAGATTCTTCCCCAGATCAGCAGAGAAATCACACTTTAGGGCATCCTGGTTTGAGGTTAAGACGCTGAGGTGCTCACTGCCTTGGTGCATACATGCTCACATGTGTGCTTACACACACCACTAAAGGTCTAAGACAAGTTTATAGAGATTCTGTAGTTCAGAACTGCACTGTCCAAATATGGGTACAGCCAGTAGCCCACAGGTGGCTAGTGGACACTTGAAATGTGGTCAGTCCACACTGAGATGGGTTCTAAATGTAAACTGCACTTTGTAGGATACAACGATTTCATATACAAGGGTAAAGTATCTCCGTAACTTTTTATATCGTCTGTTAAAATGATCCTATTTGGGATATACTGGGTTAAAACAAATGGGTCATCAAAATAAATTACACCTCTTTTTATTTTATGTGGGTACTAGAAGAATTTAAAGTACATAGGTGGCTCACACTGTATTTCTGTTGGACTAAAAACAGCAGATAGTTCTGCTCTAAAAACATTCATTTAGACTAAGTATCACTGAACTCCTCTGGAAGCAAAATGTCCTGTTAGATAACAGCATAAACTCCCACCACTCCCTCTTCCGGCACATTTATTACGTACAGTGTGCGTTTAAGGGGCAGTCTGCCAGGCGGCTCGTTTCCATGCGGTCAGATGCCTCCAGCTTCGCAGGCTCTCCGCACCCTCTGAACCTCTCCCCACCCAGTTCCCGAGCGAGTGTTCAGCTCTGGTGGCCCACTTCCCAGACCTCCGCGGGCACACCCAATACTCTTTCTGGCATGTTCTTCTGTTCCTACTGCTCACTCCCCCTGGGGACATCCTTCACTCTCATGACTTCATCCTTCCTCTCATGATTCCTCCACGTGACCTCATAGAGTTTCAGATGATTCGGAACTCTACTTTCATCTGTCAGTTTAAATGCTGGGATGTTCTACTTTAAGTCAAACCCTGAAGGAACAGGAGAAGGGAGGGACTGCAAAAATCAAACTCACAACCACCTGCCAAGTTCCTAGAATGGCTGGTATGCACTGGGAGGAAGGAGTCAAGACCACAGTTTGTGTGTTCCGTTTATTTACAAAGACTGTTAAAATCTGGGTTTTATCTCTTTACTTTTTAGGTCCTCCCTCAGAAGAGGGCAGTAAATAATAAAATGTCCCAAACAGCAGCATATGAAAACAGAAGACAAAAATAACAGAATGAGGCAAATTTGGTCATGAAGAAAGCAGGGACAGAGGCTCTCAATCAGAAACACACAGATGCAGGTCTGAATCCCTGAAAGCATGGGTGAGGTTCTGAGAGTGTGTGCGTATATAAACATTTTGAGAAAAGAGTCTGCAGCTTCCATCTTATTTCAGAGGACCTGAGACTCATATAAGGACTACTGCCATAAGGCTTAAAAACGAAACTCGATGCAAGTATGAGGTAAAGAAAGGCTGTCCATTTACACGCTGAACACTTTCAGACACTGATGGGCACACGCTTGCGTTCACTAAGCCCACTACAGCGCACCCCTGTCGACTCTGTGTATCTTCACGGCGTGATCTTCACCGCAACTTGCAAACTGCAGCCATTTAGCACCTCCTCCTTCCTTCTGTTCATTTCCATTACAATTCTTCCAGCGTAATTTTTTGATAGCAAGTGTATGACTTTGGCTAAAACAAAGAGAAATCATGAGATGAACATATGCTACGACTATGAAACATTTTACTGGCTGCTCAATTCATATTAATAAAATTAGTATGCTCTTCCTATCAGTGTTGTTAACATAAATGGAAGTCAAAACCTGAACATCAAGATGCACTATCACTAACAGTTTAGCAATTTTATTTTAACCTTGAAAACATCTTACTTACCGATCAAGGACACCACCAAAAACAGCAAGAAATAGATAATGCATTTCTGTCAAATTTTGCTTTAATGATCAGTGGAATTCAAGAAATGGCTATTGAAATTAAGTCTTTCAGGTAACATTACTACTAATTTGCTAACTGTAATGTTAGCAATCCAAATAATATAAAGTAAGTCAGGAATCAATTCTTGCAAATCCAAAGTCATCATAATGACACAAAAAAATTTTTTAATGAGAAATTCAAATTCTGTACATGCCCCCTGCCTGTGCTTTCTAAGGGGCTTCCTGGCAGTGTCGTGCTTTCAGGTTACGGAAGTGGTCCGAGCACCAGGCAGAGGCAGTGAGCACGGTGGGCAGGGCAAGGTGAAAGGAAGGGAAAGAAGGGAGGGGAGGCCGGCAAGAGAGAACATTTCAAATGCCTGAAATATGGAATTTCATTGGCTACCTCTTAGGTAAGCCAGCAGCATGAACTGTTTCAACAGCCAAACCCAGCCTCAGAGAAGTGGGAGTGAAGCCATGAGAAGCAGTGACAAATCAGATCTCATTTTAATATACTTAAATAAATACAATCATCGTAAGCATTAACATGCTTTGCTGATAAGGAGACAAACTCCTCTGGAAGAAATAGCTTATACAATACATGTCTCTTGTCATCAAGCCAGTGACCTTCCTCATGGTGCTATTGTTTGGAACTGTATTTGAAGTTATATTTTGGATAGTTTAAACATACGAATGTTGAAGAATCCTAAAAAAAAAAATCTAACACAGAATGATGTGTGACATTTTTTGCAAGTCTCGTCGTTTCTAATGCATAAACGGGTGAAGCTGATTGACGAGTGATCCCTGCTGTCCAGGCGGGCTCGTTTGAGGAGGCGGCGATGAGCAGCAGGCGCTCTGAGCCACCAGAGGCAGCACCCAGGCCCAAGGTTCGGAGCCCTCGCTCCGCCTGAAGCGGGGTCACAGGGCTGGGAGCGGCACCTGGTGGTTTGCTCCATTTCGGGGGCTGAGCTGAAGTGTTCAGACATGAGATCTGGCTACCAAACACAGTCTATAATATTTCAAAAAAAATCACCAACATTCTGAATCAAATTTTCCTAAGATTCTACTGTGGTCACATTCTGAAACCCATCATTTTGAAATTCATTTTCATCTCCAATGTGTTATCTCTAAAGATAATATCAAGCAAACAAGCCATGTGGTCAAATAAACTGTTTAAAAATAAGTGCAGTATAGTAACAAATGTCAATTTCAAGAGACTGTCATAAAACACAGAGGTACCAATTGGAGATAAGCACCAGGAATGGATTTATATTCTCCACACAATTGAGGCATGAGATTTGCTGCTAAAGACTCCAACGATGTCTATCTGATCTGGTGGAAGCAAAAACAGGAAAGAAATACCTTTGACTTGTTTCTACACAGCGGATCCAGTCGTTTATTTCTGGAACTTGATCGGTCTTTTTCCAGGAGTATAAACAAATCTTTCCACACTCTAATCCTACTGCAACCACGTATCTGTTTTTGAGAGAAGGGTGAAGACTGATTAATTTAGCATGAGTTTCTTCAGGGTTCCCGACTACCTCTGGCTGAAAGGACTCTGTTCGGACCCAGGACCCAGCGCACTGCTCTGCTGTGCACTCGAGAAGCCGCCTCTCCATCAGGGTTGCACAGTTCTACCTCTGTCCCTGGTGGGCAAGGCCCACGAGCCAGTGCTTCCCTGGCTGGCTGTGGGGCCCTCAGGCTACTAAAGATACTCGTTACAGAGAAATATCACCATCTACCATTTGGTAAAATAAGAACCTTTGAGCCACATTCCCCATCTCTATTTCACCACTCTAAATACCATCAAGTTCTATCAATCTAGAAATTCTTATGAGAAACATAAGCATTATTTAAAAAAATAGTTAACTTGGAAGCTGAAAGAACCCACAGATTAAAGTATAAGAGGGCTATACATTGAGACTAAGTGGTCTTCTTAAAGAAACATGAGTTGAGGCCCCCACACCGAGACTGACCGTTGGGAAAGGTTAAGCAGCGGGCAGACGCTGACGGCGGTCACAGCTCCACCCACGTCCAGGACGGAGGAGCAGGGCCCGATGCTGTGCTCGATGGCGTCGTCGCTGGAGTCGCACTCACCCCAGACAACCACCTAGCACAGACAGATCAAACTCTGTAACGCTTTCTCTCTGCAAGGTTTCTGTTAATGGCAATGCGTTAAGAGTTTCAATGGCATAGGTGACGCTATGAAATTTTTTAATTCATCATTTTCATTTGTGATCCAGGACTTCTGAGCATTTCAAGCATCACAGAGAAGCCACGGTGCAGCAGATACAAGTCTGAGATCTCAACTACCCAAGTGTGCTGGGCCAAAGTCGACTGTCCCTGCCCAGAGGCCTGCTCTTTATACTCAGGAAACCAGCTCTGATCCAGTGAGATTCGGTCCACCGAGGTGCCTATGCATTCCCCCAAGAAATTACCTCAAAATGTATGAAACCAACCAAGTCCCTGGCTCTTCCTCTACACCCCACCCCGGTTCAGAGAATCAGCTCAACTCTCAGGAGGCCCCAACCTTGATGATACTAATCTAAGAAATGAGGCTTTCTTGGAAGCTCAGGCCTCGAAGGGGTGTGAACGGTCACAAAGAAATGGAGAACACAGTGAAACAGACAAGAGCTGCAACTTTAGGACCAAAGAGACACTCTGAGCAGAAGACTCTGCCCAGGCAAGCAGAAAGGTATTCCTGAGACTGCCTGATGGACGATGCTTCGTCCATTTCAGCCGTGACCTGTCTCTGAGTCACAGCTGGGTCGTCTGCTGCCGGGCCTGACCGTGGAGGGCGGAAGCAGCCCTGCTGCCTTGCATAGTAGGAAGAGAAATGCCGGGGAGACACGGATATGCCAGCGACAGGGGCGAAGGGCTGAGAGAGCGTGTCAGAGGCCGACACTTCCGTGTCACTGAGTAACATGCCCTCAGTCCTCTGCTTCAGTAATACCACGATTAGGACTGAGAGGGCAGGAGAGGAAAGGAGACGCTCAGGTGCCTCAGACCTCTAGTCTGCAACAACTGCAGAGAAGGAAAGGATATATATATTTTTTTAACATTTTAAAATAACTTTTATTTCTATCACGGTTACACACAGAATTTTTAATAGTAAGAAATAACAAATGATATATTGGAAATGAAAATTTCCATTCAAACTCCCCAACCCACCCCATCAACATCCGCATCCACCTAATCACCTTCTCTTTATAGCCATGCTGTTTAGTTGCTCAGTTGTGTACAACTCTGTGATCCCATGGATGTTTTAAAGAGCACGAACACTAGAGGAAAGACAGGGCCAAGCAAACATTTCCCAGAGAACAAGGGCAAGGGGCAAGGCCAAAAACCTATTGCTAGCTCACTTATCCTGATTTTTTTCAAAGCTTGGGACACACACACTCACACACCCCACCTCCTCCAATGAATGAAAAGGTAAAACAATTATTCACAGAATTTAAAATTCATACAAGTATGGAAAAGAAAAGTATGGATAGTCTTAACCCATTTCATTGACTACTTTTCTCCCACTGGGGCCATCTGATATTAGTAATGAGTCTGAAGAGTCTCCTCTGTAGGTGATATTTCAGAGACATGTATTTATAGAATTTAACAAATAAGAAAAGTCTTTTTATGTATGCATATGAAAAATACAGGAGGGAATACATAAACTGATTTTAAAAACCATATTAGAAAATTAGGATTATGTGTTTTTTTTAATCCAAAGATACCTGTAATATTATTATCTTACATTTGAAAAAATACAAAGTTAAAAAAAAATTACCTTTCTGTCCCGACTTCCAGTAAAGAAATACTTGCCATCCGGACTCCAATCACAAGACCAAATAATCCTGCTGTGCACAGCAGTGACTTTGTTAGTGAAGGCAAAGAGGCTGAAGACTGGGTCTGAAAGAAACACATTTATGCACTACTCTCAAATTGAGAAACCTGGTTTTTCCTTGTTAGAAAATTATGTTTAAGTGTCATATAAATCATGTAATTTAGTCATCAATTTATACACATAAATGGATGTCTTTTACAACAGATCAAGGCCAGGGAGCAGACCCCTCACCAGAAGACTATGGGAATACATTCACTTTTCTAGTAGGAAATGATATTATACTGATTAGTCACTCTTTAGTGATTGATGTGAACTCTTTATCGCCAAATTCAGACTTAAATTGAAGAAAAGTACAGAAAACCACTAGATCATTCAGGTATAACCTAAATCAAACCCCTTACGATTATACAGTGTAAGTGACAAACAGATTCAAGGGATTAGATCTGATAGAGTGCCTGAAGAACTATGGATGGAGGTTTGTGACACTGTACAAACAGGAGGCAGTGATCAAGACTATCCCCAAGAAAAAGAAATGCAAAAAGGCAAAATGGTTGTCTGAGGAGGCCTTACAAATAGCTATGAAGAGAAGCAAAGCTAAAGGTAAAGGAGAAAAAAGAAAGATATACCCATCTGAATGCAGAGTTCCAAAGAACAGCAAAGAGACATAAGAAAGCCTTCCTCAGTGATCTGTGCAAAGAAATAGAGGAAAACAATAGGATGGGAAAAATCAGAGATCTCTTCAAGAAAATTAGAGATACCCCTTTTCATGCAAAGATGGGCACAATAAAGGACAGAAATGATATGGATCTAACAGAAGCAGAAGATATTAAGAAGTGGCAAGAATACACAGAAGAACTATACAAAAAAGATCTTCATGACCCAGAAAATCACAATGGTGTGATCACTCACCTAGAGTCAGACATCCTGGAATGTGAAGTCAAGTGGGCCTTAGGAAGCATCACTAAGAACAAAGCTAATGGAGATGATGGCATTCCAGGGGAGCTATTTCAAATCCTGAAAGACGATGCTGTCAAACTGCTGCACTCAATATGCCAGCAAATTTGGAAAACTCAGCAGTGGCCACAGGACTGGAAAAGGTCAGTTTTCATTCCAAACCCAAAGAAAAGCAATCCCAAAGAATGCTCAAACTACCGCACAACTGCACTCATCTCACACACTAGTAAAGTAATGCTCAAAATTCTCCAAGCCAGGCTTCAACAGTACGTGAACCATGAACTTCCAGATGTTCAAGCTAGATTTAGAAAAGGCAGAGGAACCAGAGATCAAATTGCCAACATCCGCTGGATCATTGAAAAAGCAAGAGAGTTCCAGAAAAACATCTACTTCTGCTTTATTGACCATGCCTTTGACTGTGTGGACTACAACAAACTGTGGAAAATTCTTCAAGAGATGGGAATACCAGACCACTTTGACCCACCTCTTGAGAAATCTGTATGCAGGTCAAGAAGCAACAGTTAGAACTGGACATGGAACAACAGACTGGTTCCAAATAGGAAAAGGAGTACATCAAGGCTGTATATTGTTACCCTGCTTATTTAACTTGTATACAGAGTACATCATGGGAAACGCTGAACTGGATGAAGCACAAGCTGGAGTCAAGATTGCAGGAAGAAATGTCATAAAGCTCAGATATGCAAATGACACCACCCTTATGGCAGAAAGTGAAGAATTAGCCTCTTGATGAAAGTGAAAGAGAAGAGTGAAAAAGTTGGCTTAAAACTCAACATTCAGAACACTAGGATCATGGCATCTGGTCCCATCACTTCATGGCAAACAGATGGGGAAACAGTGGAAACAGTGACAGACTTTCTTTTCTTGGACTCCAAAATCACTGCAGATGGTGACTGCAGCCATGAAATTAAAAGACGCTTGCTTCTTGGAAGGAAAGTTATGACCAACCTAGACAGCATATTAAAAAGCAGAGACACTACTTTGCCAACAAAGGTCCGTCTAGTCAAGGCTATGGTAGTCATGTATGGATGTGAGAGCTGGACTATAAAGAAAACTGAGCGCTGAAGAACAGATGCTTTTGAACTGTGGTGTTGAAGAAGATTCTTGAGTCCCTTCGACAGCAAGGAGATCCAGCCAGTCCATCCTAAAAGAAATCAGTCCTGAATATTCATTGGAAGGACTGATGCTGAAGCTGAAACTCCAATACTTTGGCCACCTGATGCGAAGAACTGACTCGCTGGAAAAGACCCTAATGCTGGGAAAGATTGAAGGCGGGAGAAGAAGGGGACAACAAAGGATGAGATGGTTGGATGGCATCACCAACTCAATGGACATGAGTTTTAGTAAGCTCTGGGAGTTGGTGATGGACAGGGAGGCCTGGCGTGCTTCAGTCCATGGTGTCGCAGAATCGGATACGAATGAGCGACTGAACTGAACTGACCTGAAGTGACTGATGTAAAACATCTCTGGACACTTAACTAAAAGTTCAGTTGATGCCTACAGAAGAAGCCTCAAGAAATTTAACTTACTCAGGAAGTAGCCAGATCTGTGTATTAAGCTATGGAAAAAAGAATAATGCACCCTTAAACAATGTAAACAAACAAACTTAAAAAAATATTTTCCTTTGTAAGATTCTAAGTGTAGGGTAACTAACTTCTAGCCCTCACAGGAACTAAAACCTAAATGACCTAACTGTGTATCGAGGGAAGACTAATGTATCTATTAATCAACAATCCACAAAGATATAACACATTATAATATAGATTTGTTATTAGCCTCACTTTAACTTTAAAAAGTAAAGTATACATGTTAGGAAATCACTGGTTGCAAATGAAATCAGTCTGTTTTAATATATACTGCTCAGTATCTGTCATAGTACTTGGTATTCTCTAAAATATAAAAAACCCAAAGTACTGAAAACATCGTAAGTCAAATTGATATAGGTTTTAATTGATGAAAAAATTAAAAGCAGCATTAAACAACACAAAAGTACTTTAAACACTCTCTAGAGTCTCACTGAAACTGGAAGAAGAATAGGCTATTGCTCTAAGTACACAAAGGAAACTTTTTTTTCCTTTTCAGTGTTTTTTCATTTTATGCCAGGTCCAAAGTAGAAGGCAGGTAGGTGTGTTAACATCTTGCCCAGGGGTCATGTTATTCACAAATATTAGTTCCTCGGTCATGTCCAACTCTTTACAACTCCATGGTCTGCAGCCTGCCAGGCTGCTCTATCCATGGGATTCTCCAGACAAGAATACTGGAGTGGGTAGCCATTCCCTTCTTCAGGGGATCTTCCTGACCCAGGGATCAAATCTGGGTCTCCTGCATAGCAGGCATATTCTTTACCATCTGAGCCACCAGGGAAGCCAAGTGGATGTCTAAATTATCAGTGTGAAAGAGGTGGATAATTTAACTGTATACTCATTATTTCTGTCCCATAAAATCCTCAGTATATATCATCCATTTGGTTTTAAGGTGGCATTCTGTAACCATCTGCAAAGTCTAAATTTTGTACATACAGATTTTCATGCTGCTTTAACCGAGATATTTGAAAACATTATCATCCTTACAAGGAAGGTCAAGTCTTCCTCAACTGTCACAAAACTCTGAAAGACTCCCAGTAACCAGACTCTGGCCTTCACCCTGTTATCATTTCACTTTACCCAGAGCCGCTCAAAGTGGGTACATAGACATAACTGTCTCACTAGTACTCTTCCCAGCCAGGAGCTGTTTACCTAACTCGGGTGGGATTGTGTCCTGCCTCTTCCACAGTGACCAGGTTCGATCTCTGGAAACAGCGAGTAAGAACTTGTCATCAGGAGAGAAGGCCATCTGTGTGACAGTCAAACTGTGGAAGATTAAATTCTGCACCTGCTTCCAAGATGCAGTGTTCCAGAGAATGATTGCGGCATGCTCTTTCTTGGCTGCCTGTAGGACAGAGATGAAACAATAAAGCAATGTGAGTGAAATAAACTGGAAAAAACAAACAAAACCACTTTTCAAAGTAACACACTGCTTCTACAGGATTCTTCATGTATCTGCATAAATAAAAACCACAAATTCTGAGAAGATACTATAAATTCTATAACAAGGTGTAACCCCTGAGAAGAGATAGAATGGGATTAGAAATGACAAATGATTAGAGACTGGCAGTGGAATCAGAATTTTTAAAATTGTAATTAACATACAATATTTTACCTTGTTATTGACTATGTTCCCTATGTGCACCTTACATCCCTGTGACTTATTTTGAAACTGTGAATTATTGTGTAACTGCAAGTTTATACCTCTTAGACCCCTATTTCCATCATCCGTCCACCCCGCCGAAAACACCTTGTCTGTTCCCTGTATCAACGAACCTGCTTCTGTTTTGTTTGTCCATTTGTTTTGGTTTTTTGGATTCCACATATAAATGAAATCATTGTCTTTCTCTGTCTGACTTATTTACTTATTTCACTTAGCATAATACCCTCCAGGTCTATCCATGGTGCCACAAATGGAAAGATTTCATTCTTTTTTTTAATGGCTGGTAATACTGCACATTCAAGTGTGCACACACCCCACCCCTTCCTAGTCATTCCTTTATCAACAGACACTTTGGTTGCTTCCATATCTTGTCTATTGCAAATAAAGCTACAATGAGCATAGGGGTATATTTATCTTTATAAATTATCATTTTTGTTTTCTTTGGATAAATACCCAAAAGCAGAGTTGCTGGATCATATGGTATAGTTCTGTTTTAATTTTTTGAGGAGCTGCCATACTATTTTTTCAAGTATGTATTTTACATAATTTTACAAGTATGTATTGTATTTTTACAAAATACATTTCTGCATTAACTGTGTAATTAGTAGTTAAGAGACTTTCACTTCTGGTCCATAAGAAGTAACAGGGACCAGAGTTACTATCTTGTATGAAAAAAACTAAAGATCAAACAAAATACATGAAACAATGGCACTCCAAAATACTCGATGTCTGGCAACAATGAAGAGCTACCCCTAAGGGACAAAAAGAATCACAGAGTAGGAAAAATAAAAAAACAAAAGAACATCACTGAACCCTATGACAACATCAAGCAGCCAAATATAGGTGTTAACTATGGTCTGCAAAACGATGAAAAGAAAAAATACTTAAAAAGCTAATGGCCCTCAAATTTGATGAAAACAATAAACCAAAAGATCCAAGAAGTGCAATAAAACTCAAGCACAAGAAACAGGAAGACAATTAAACCAACAATCAAATTGTTTAAAACCAGTGATAAACAAAAAATTGCACATGGAGGGGAAAAAACCGATTACTGAGCAACAAAGAAAAATTACACTGGACTTCTCATCCAAAGCAACGCAAGTCAGAAGAAAATAAAACAACATTTTTAAAGTACAGAAAGGAAAACAAACAATTCTTTACCTACCATAAGTACAGTTTAAAAATGAAGGAGACATATATATTTCCAGGCAAGCAAAAACTGAAAAAATTCCTAACCAGCAGAACTACATTACAAGAAATGCTAGAGAATATCCTGCAGGCAGAAGGAAAATTATATCTGATGGAAAAACTTTTTTATTATTTAATCTCAATTATCTCTAATTGATTATTAAAGCAAAAATAATAGTACCATGGGATTTCTGTAAAGAAGCAAAATGTACAAAAACAATACCACAAAGTAGGAAGAAATGAAAGTATACTTATTTTCTCATGAACAGTGCAATATTACTTGATGATAAACTGTGGTAAAGACACATACTATAAACTGTGAAACCACCAATAAAATAACACAATGAAGAATTATATCTGCTAAACAAAAGAAATGGAATTATAAAAAGTAATTATTTCACCAAAAATAAGTAAAATGGATCAAAGAACAGATGGATTAAACAGAAAACAAATGGCAAAATGATAAAAGTAAATCTATTATATCAATTATTACATTAAATTCAAATAGTCTAATAAACACCCCTATTAAAATGAAAGATTATCAGGACAAGAAAAACATAAGATCCAACTATATGCTGCCTCCAAGAAATCCACTTGAGATAAAAGTTAACAAATAACTTAAAAGTAAAATGATGAAAAAAGACACATAACTCAAGCACTACTCAAAAGAAAGCCGGGGAATTCCTGGCATCTAAGGTAAGGACTCCATGCTTTCACTGCAGGTGACATGGGTTCAATCCCTGTTCAGGGAAATAAGATGGTACAAGCCTCGCAGTGTGGCCAATAAAAGAAAGCAAGCTGGAGTGGCTATATTAACATCAGACAGAGTGGATTTCAGAGCACAAACTATTATCAGAAATAGAGTTTCATTTCATAATAATAAACTAGTCAGTTAATTAAGAGAACATAATGATCATAAATGCTTTGGATCTAACAACAGAGCTTCAAAACACACAGAGTACAAACTGAACGCACTGCAAAGATTAAAAGACAAGTTCATAATTGTCATCAGAGATTTCAAAATGCCACTCACAAAAGAACCAAACGAGCAAAGACAGTAATACTATCAACCAATATAAGTTATATTTTTCAGAACACTCCACCCAACAGAAACAGAATCCACCTTCTTCAAGAGAACATGGAAATTTACCAAGATAAAAATTTCAAATGATTGAAGCTATACTTTACCTTTTAAACAAAATGAAATTAAATTAGAAATCAGTAACAGAAAGATATCTTAAAAATACTCAGTATATGGAAATTAATGTATTTCAAAATAACCTATAGCTAAAAAATAAAAGATGGAAGAAATTAGAAAGTATTTTTAACTGAAGGAAAATGAAAACACAACATACCAAAATTTGCAGAATGCCTCAAAAGCAATACTTAGAGGAAAACTTAACAGTGCTAACACCTATCCAGAAGCCAGGATTGAGGGCTGGGTGAAGTGGGTGAAGAGTCAAAAGGTACAAATGCCCAGCTACAAATACTAAGTCAGGGGGACATAATGTATAGCACAGCAATTATCATCAACACTGCACTGCATATTTGAAAGTTGCTGAGATCTTAAAAGTCCTCAGCACAAGAAAAAACTTTTTCTTCTAATTATGTATGATGATGGATTTTGGCTATGGGGGATCACTTCCCAATGTAAACAAATGTCGAATCATTATGCCGTACACCTGAAACTAATACAATTTTATATATGTCAGTTACACCTCAATAAAAATAATGATTTTTTAAAATGCATATACATATAGATCATGAGCAGGAATGCAAAGCTGGTTCAACATCTGAAAAATCATTCAATGTAATTCATCATATTAATAAATTAAAAGGGAAAAAACATATGACATGTCAACAAAGAAAAAAATTTGACAAAATCTAACATCCATTCTTGATAAAAACTCTGCAAACTAGGAACTGCAGTGAGATTTTGCAACCTGATAAAGAATTAGTCATAATGCACAGCAAATATCATGCTTAATAATGTAGATCTGTGAGTCAGGTGAAGGTACTTCGATTCTACACAAGAAGCACAAACTCAATACAGAACAAAATTGATAAATTAGATTTCACCAAAACATAAACTTCTGCCCTCTGAAAAAACACTGCTAAGAAAATGAAAAGGCAAGTCACTGGTGAAAATTATCTACAAAGCAAATATCTGATAAAGGAGTATCCAGTGTATACAAAGAACTTTTCAAAATTCAGTAATATGAAAACAATACAATAGAGAACTGGGCAAAATATTTGAACGGATACTTCAACAAAGAAGATACACAGACGGAAAACTAGCACATGAAAAAATTCTCAACATCACTAATCATCAGGGAAATGCAAATTGCAGGTACAGTGAGGTATTACAAAAGCATCAGAATGGTAAAAGTTAAAAACACTGACAAGATCATGTACTGCTGAAGGTGTGGAGCACCTGAAACTCTCATACGTTGCCAGTGGGACTGTAACATAGTACAACCACTTTGGAAAACAGTTTGTTACTTTCTTAAAAATTTAAATATCTATCTACCATACTCAGCGATTCCACTCATATGTACTTGCTCAAGAGACATGAAAGGATATTCTATGCAAAGACTTGTAGACAAATGTTTATAACTGCTTTACTGGTATAAGTCCCAAAATGGAAATCACCTAAATGTCCATTAAGTGAATGGATCAACAAATTGTAATGTATATGTAAAAGGGAAGATGATTCAGAAATAAAAAAGTGAAAAATTAATTGACACGTGCAACAACATGGATGAATCTCAAATTGTGATAAATGAAAGAAGCTAGACAAAAAAAGTACAAGCTGTAATTCCATTTATACAAAAATTTAGAAAATTAAACTACTCTATCATGATAAAAAGCAGATTAGTGGTTTACTAGGGATAGGGGCGGGCTTCCCTGGTGGCTCAGATGGTAAATAACCTCCCTGTAAAGCGGGAGACCTGGGTTCGATCCCTGGGTTGGGAAGAGCCCCTGGAGAAGGGCATGGCAACCCTCTCCAGTACTCCTGCCTGGAGAAGCCCTATGGACAGAGGAGCCTGGCGGGCTACGGTCCATGGGGTCGCAAAGAGTTGAACAGGACTGAGTGACTAAACAGCACAGCACAGGATTGGGGGTTGATGGTATTTTCACTATCATGATTGTGGTGATGATTTCACAGGTGTAAACATATGTCAAAATTTATCAAACTGTCCAACTTTCAAAGTGCAATTTATAGTACACTTTACTGCTGTTCATTTGCTAAGTCGTGTCCAACTCTTTGCCATCCCATGGACTGCAGCAGGCTTCCCTGTCCTCCACAATCCCCCAGAGTTTGCTCAAGTTCATGTCTATTGAGTCGGTGATGCTATCTAACCATCTCATCCTCTGCTGCCCTCTTCTCCTTTAGTACACTCATGACATCTAAATAAAACAGCTACAGAATGTTAGCTTAAAAGAGAAATGCCCATACTTGTTACAAGTGAGCCAACTTGAAAAGGAGAAAATAATTATATGGTTAACAGCGCTCTACGACACAAAAAAGTTTGCTCAACAGAAGCACAGCTGTTATTGCTATTATTCCCTATTCTTCCCAAAGGCCCCTGTATTAACAGAAAGAAGAATTCTCAGGACCACCCTCACCAAGAGGACAATAAACAGAGGGGTGGGGGAAAAGGAGCATGACACTATTTCTTAGGATGACCCTCAACTCAACACAGGCAAACAGCAAGAAGCCACAGCAAGAGCACGGATAAAAAACAAACATACAGAAAGAAAACCAAAAACAAAGAAATCCAAAGGTGGCCATCCAGGTGGGCAGCTCTCACCATCATGCTTAAAACAAGTAAATAAATGTATTTTCTTGTTTAAAACAAGTAGACAAATTTGAGGAAATTCAGAGGAATATGTGAGTCTCAGATCCTTCACATAATCCTCCACAGTATATAAATACTGAAGAGCAAGTTCAAGATCATTCTCCCAGGCCAATGTCTCAAGTGCACAATTCTGCAGAGCCACCTGCTGGTGGCTCGCTGAGCGGGCTGCCCCCCTGCCTCACCATGGCATGGGGCAAGGGACTCGACTCCCTTAGGTCATCACCCGGAATGGCCCCGAGAAATGGTCAGATCAAATGCACACGGGGTTTTGCCTTCCCCTGTGTCTCCAGGGATCCCATTACTAAAAATTTTTATTACATTTTAGGTCTAATTTTCAGATATTTGATTAAATAGCTTTTGAGTAGGGGAATACTCGGCTCAAGCCAAGTACTGAAAAACAAAAATGTGCAGCTGAGACAGATTTAAAAGGCAACTGCAAGCTTTTGCAGAGACAGATGGAAAAGAGGCAGAGAAAGCAAGATTCAGAAAAATCAGGCACCTGTGGCCTTTCATGTTGGATTCTGCCTGCATCACTAAGCTTGCAGGAGCCTGATTTAAATAACCTGTGACCAAGCAGAATAGAAAAGTAACATTCCCTACCTTACAAGCTGAGGCAAGCAGAGTCTTTGAATTGCTACAAGCAACACAAAATATTTCATAGCCATGTCCATATCTAAAATTCAAAAAGAGAAAATGGATGACCCCTGTATTATGAAATGTATCTATTCTCATGCTGCAAAATTTTTAATGTGAAAAGATTAACTTTAATCTCTCTAGCTAACACACAGTTCTTTTAAGAAACATTTCTGTAAAGCAGAGAGTAGAGAAAAATCTAACTTCCTAGCAATAATATAACTTATTCAAACTACTAAATTAAATACAAGTTTCCACCCCTAGCCAGTCAGTACAATAAATATTAATAACAAATCACAGAAAGGTTCAGATAGGGAATCACTGTAGGGAAAAAAAAAAAAAAAATATATATATATATATATATATTTTAAATGGTGCTATGCCTCTCTACTTAAAAAAATCAAAACCAATAAATCTAGTAACTATAATACAGAGCATTATAAAAACCTAAGTAAAGCTTGATTCTCACCCCTTATGAAGGCAACCAAGAGATCTTTAGATCTGGGGGTGGGGGAATGTAGCTAAGAGGAAAGCAAAAGAGAAAACCAAATTTTGGGGGGGGGGGGGGGGCGGGATATCACAAGTTAGGATAGAATCAGACCAAACAGCTAAGTGTAGTTTAACTTACAGTTTTTGAACTTCAGGCCACAAAGTATTTTGCAGCAGATGGTCCTCAGTGGGAGGTTCTATAATAAATTTACAGTGTTGCAGTTAATTTTCCTATTTTCATGCAAGTGAATTCTGGAGCACATATTTAGGTCAGCAGTGACAGATACCACACTATGTGTGCTAATAATTCTAGTAAACCATACTTTTGCCTTTTCTTACCAGTAAGTAAGGAGGGTTGGAAGGCCACCTGGTGATACTCGAAACCAGCACTATTTAACAGCTCCTCTTCATCAGAAGGCTGAGAAGCCATATCTCCTAGTTTAAAAGAAGTATCAACATCATGAACATGGTCCCATCTTTATGTCTCCTACACACATCCGTTAAGGCCACCAGTGAGAAAGTGGTGGCACATCAAGAGAGAGTAATTCAACTGTATTCACGTAATTGCAAAGCCGAGGGTATTTCCACTACTCTGGTATTTTCCATATGTGCTGTGGTCAATCTCACAAAAATTCCTCCCTTTTCCTTTGACCGAATATTTCCCAAACTTTTTATAAACTATGGAACACATTTTTCAGGCAACCCACATTAGTATCTGGGGTTGTAAGTGCTCCATGAAATACACTTTGTAAAAGCAGCACCTATTTCAGGGTATGCAAGGGTACACAGAGTAGTTACCATGAAATATCTGACAGAGAGCAGAGATGCCTGTACTGTGATTTATAAAAAGAGAAATCACCTGTAACGAACACTAGTACATGTTATACAAGTGTGTAACTAGGTGGTAAGTACCATTATAGGTTCAGTAGTTCTGGAGACGAATTCAGATGAACTCAGCCTTACCCTGAAAGACAGCTTTATTGGATAATCCCAAAGCAGGGACGGTAGCTCCTTCTGGAAGATCACCGTCTTGCTGGAATAAAAAGTGTGAGACATGTCTTAAATGCTAAAAGATACTGTTACTTCAGGCACTGGGAAAAAAAAAAAATGCTATGCTCATTAGTGCTGAGAAGCAGTGTAAAGACCACTTACACTGAGGGTATCTGCCCAGACTTCCATTTCCTGAACCAAGAGATGAAATGCTAATCCAGCACACAGGTCCCAGCTAACCCCAGCCCCAGCCCCCACCCAATCCATAAAGCTGGGTATCCCCTCATCCATCAGCTCACTGAACCCTCACAGTTCAGCGGATTTCAGGGTTTGACAAGGAAAGCGCTGTGATGGCTTCTAGCCAAGAGTGGGCTGATAACGGAAGGCCTGAAACCTTTATTTACAAGAGAGTTTCATGGGTACATCCCTGGTGATGCTCATGCGAACATACGTTTCCCAGGAAGCCACAGTCATAGTATTTTCATTAAACATACCTGAAATTTTGTGTATTTTAAAACTTTATAACAGACTACTCTTTAAAGTGACAATATGTTTATATGCTGCATATCAATTAAGTTATTACAAGTGAAACAAACACTAACCATCAAAATTGGCACATGTCCGTAAGCTAACAGCATTTCTTAAAATCTAAACTTTAATACAGGGGTTGGAACTGAACACAAACATGAGCAATGGGAATTTAAACTAACACTGGTTACCTGAGACACAGGATGCTTTATTTTAGAAACCAAGAAAATGAAACACCATGGAAAAGAGCAAAAAAGAGGCATTCCTACATATTTAATATGGGAAAAAAATCTAAAAAGCAGCAAGTGACTTTCCAGTCTATAGGATCTCTATATCTTGGGACACAGAACTGAATATATACCAGGGACTAACCTCTCACGAAATCCCACCACCACATTTAAATCCCTAGAATTGTTAGATCCTCAAACTAACCAGCCCTCCACCATCATGCTCCATCTAATGACCACAATCCAGGCCCCTCTTTTGATATTGTTCTACTGTCCATTAGCATTAGAAACTATGTAACAGAATCTTTCCTCTTCTTTACCTAATCAAGAGAGCCTGTGGCCAGAGGTGTCCATGATACACTCTAGGAAGCGCAGTTGGACATTTCCTTTAAAACGATTCTCCTTTTCTTCTCCAATCTTACCCAGACTGGTGCTAACATCCCTGCCTTCAAAGTCTTTGAGCTCAAAGGTATCCTGCTCCCACATCACTCTTTCCTACAAAGCGCATTTCATCACTTCCTTTGTTCAGGACCCATCATCAGTACCAGTCTGAACTATGTCTGCCTCCCAGGTCCTCCACCATTAGACCTTTCCCCAGTTCTCCATTTCCCTTGATAACACTTTTCATTCAAGCAGCTCTGACCACTCCACAGCTCTCTTTCTCTCCTTCCTTCTGCCTATTAAAAGTGTACTTACCCTTCTCAAGCTCAGAAGCAAATTCGTGACCCGACTCTAAGGACTGCAAAGGACTGTATGACATGCATTTCTGTGTAACACAACTACCTGGCTACTTGCTTTCCCTTCCTTCAAAACTGGTTACTTGATAATTTTCATAACCTATGTATTTTTTTATAAGTGCTCAAATCCTTTGTAGAAAGAGGGTAAAAATGAACATTAATAAAACTTACCCCTTTCAAAATTTTAATGAAGTCTCATTTTCTCAGTGACACTTCCTTCTTTGACTATTACTTTAGTCAACACAAGATTCAGCAATTAACTGGTTTTATCTAACAACTGTAAGTACATTAGCTCCATACCCCCTATCCCTTATCTACATCGAGATGATAATCTCCTTGAAAATATAACCCATTGTGTTTTATCAGTTACCGAACACAGTGAACATGCATAGTATTTGTATCTTAATATTTTAATTCTTTACAGTGTCTTAGGCTTATCTGTTATAAAATTTCTTATACTAATATTTAAATTATTGCAGAGTATATGCAGAAATTATCAAGCCAATGATAAAATGATTTGACTTCCTTTCTATCCATATTCTCCATTTACAGCCTTAGGTAAAACTTCTTTAAAATGTTATATGAAGTGGCAAGATCTACTTAAAACATTTAGGGGAATACTCACATTACAAAGCACACGATTCAGTGACCGACCCGTAATGGCACAAAAATTTTCCACAAAATTCCGAGGTGCAGAAAATACTCGAAGAACTTTTTCATCTGCTCCAGACACAAACTGAAACCTATTGATCATTGCCAAACATTTAAGGTCATATCCATGTATCTGAGGCCTTGCAATTTCATGCCAAGTCACCTGGGTGCCAAAAAAGATAAAAAAAAAATGATCACATGTTTCAAAAACTGAATTCTTTTCAACAAGCAAAGCATCAAACACAAACTCATTCATTATGCCATGGAAATGTGACCATGGGGCAGATTCATCCATGTTGTTGTGTTCATCAACAGTTCAATACTTTTTCTTGCTTAGTAATATTCCTTTTGTATGGCTATACCACAAATTGTTGATCCACTCACCTACTCAGATATCTGGGGTGTTTCCAACTGTCTTACTGAGAAAACAGTCACGAACTTTCATGTACAAGTCTCTGTATGACTATATGCCTCTATTTCTCTTGAGTAAACACTTCCTATGGGTATGATAATTGAATGATGATTGTATAACTTTTAATAAACTGTCAAATTATTTTCCAAAGTGCCTATACATTTTACAATCCCACCAGCAGTGTAAGAAAGATCCAGCTGCCCACACCCTCATCAGCACTTGTGCAAGTCAGCTTTCCACATTAATCATTCTAACAGTGGTATAATGGTATCTCATTGTAGCTTTAATGTGCATTCCCTAATGGCTAATGATACTGAAATCTTTTCCTGTTCTTATTTTCCATTAATATATCATCTTCAGAGAAATATCTTTTGCCCCATTTACTACCCCCCACCTTTTTTTACTGGATTATTTGTTTTCATTTTTACTGAGTTCTAAAAAGTTCTTTATAGACTCTAGATAAAAATCCTTTATCAGATATGTGTTTTGTAAATATTTTCTCCCAGCTTGTGACTCATCTTTTCATTTTCCTGATAGCGTCTTTCAAAGGGCAGAACTTCACATTTTGGATAAAGTCTGATTTACTGATTTTTTTCTTTTTTTTTAAAGGATCTTGAGTAAACAACAACTGAGTCATACTGGTAGCAAATTACCAAGAGTCACAGAAAACCACTCCAAAATCATCTGCCTTTTTTGCTTGACTATAGTACTGCTCCCAATGTTCTCTATTAATTTTAATCTACCAAAGTGCTGCTAAAGCAGAAATGCCAATGGCCAATTTCATTAGCACTCAGTCTGACCCACAGTCAGTTTCATAAATTTTTATCAGAAACTGAGTATACTTTGTAGTATAGCACAGTTCAATTATTTATCAGTGGTAGAGTTTTATTGTGGTTTTTGAAAGTTTAGGGCAAGACTGAAAAGTTTCTTTAACAAAAACTGGGCTCAGCAACTATTAAGTGACACTATATGATATTAGAAATTAGCTTTTATTGCAGATCTGACAGAGTTTCCTAATGAATTAAAACTAAAATTACAAGGTATAAGAGAACTTTGTGGAACTAAAGTAAACACATTTTGGCAACTAACATTTTAATTGTTTGAATTATAAAGAATATACATATGCTTAGGTTTTTTACTGAAATACAGTTGAAATATGTAATATTATGTTAGTTTCAACACAGTGTACAACATAGTGATTTAACATTTAAATACATTACAAAACAGTCACCATCATCAATCTAGTAACCACCCACCTGTCCTCACACACAGTTATTAAAACATTATTGACCATATTCCTTATGCTCTATATCATACTCCCATGGCTTATTTATAACTGAAAGTTTGTGCCTTTTAATCCCTTCACCTATTTCGCCCAGCTTCACACCTCTGGAAAACACTCATTTGTTCTTTGTATAAGTTTGTTTTCACTTTGTTTGTTCATTTGTTTTTTAGGTTACACATATACATCAGATTGTCTTTCTCCGTCTAACTTGTATCACTTAGCACAGTATCCTCTAGATTCATCTATTTTATTATAAATGGCAAGACTTTATTTTCCTCTTTAAAATTGTTTTTTACTTTTTAATTTCATTGAAGTGTAGCTGATTTAAAAGGTTGTGTTCACGTCTGCTGTACAGAAAGTGACTCAGTTATATACATATTTAAGACTTCATTTTTTAATGGCTAATATTCCATTGTATATATACCATGTCTTCTTTATCTATTCATCTATCAATAGATACTTAGCTGCTTCCATATCTTGGCTATTGTAAATATTTACAATAATTACATTAAATAAATACATGTAAATATTGCAAATAATGCTTCAATAAACATGGGGGTAGATGTGTCTTTTCAAATTAGTGTTTTGTTCTCTTTAAATAAATACCCAGAAATGAAATTCCTAGATCATGGGGTAGCTCTATTTTTAATTTTTTGAGGAAACTCCACTCCATTTTCCAAAGCACCGTTCCAATTTACGATCCTACCAACAAGGCAGGAGAGCTCCTTTTCTCCACATCCTTGCCACCATTTACTGTTTATCTATTTGATGACAGCTACTCTGAGAGACGAAAGAGAGTATCTCATTGTGGTTCTGATTTGCATTTCCCTGATGGTTAGTGTTGAGCATCTGTTCACACATCTACTGGCCATCTGTATGTCTTCTTTGGAGTGCTTCAGTTTTTAAGAAACCTATTTTCCAGGGTAACTATAACATTCTGCATTCCCATTGGCAATGTATGAAAGTTCCAGTCTCTCTGCAACCTACTACACTTGCCACTGTCAGTATTTTATACCTCAGATATCCCAGAGGGTGTGCAGTGGCATTCATCATTTTAATTTGCATTTCCCTAATGGCTAATGTTGCTGCCCCTCTCTTCAAGAGCTCAGGGATGTTCAAGTGGATCCGTCAAGACGGAAGATATTTTACCTGTGACTGATCTTTTCTCTTCCAAGGAGCAAAAAGTCGAGTTGTCTGGTCAGTACCAACAGTGATGATAAATTCTCCTTCTGGATCCCACGTTAGGTCTTGGACACCATCAAAGTGTCCTGAAATAACAATCTCTGGAGTCCACTCTTTCTGCAATGAAAGTGCTCATGACACATCAAAATAATCAATGTATTTTCATTCAAAATTAAGTCTGATAATGCCTTCAGTCCTCAGGTCTGATATGGAAAAGACCACAGCTCCCAGACAAGGTGAAAAGTTAAGTAAAAAAGATGGAAATTCACAGTAACAGGATCTGTTTTCCAGTCAAATAGATTTGAACTTCAACATTCAAATATGTGTTGTCCTTCAAAGCAGTTTCTTTGGGGAACTCCCCTCCATTCGTCATTTGTGAATGCCTCCTGGAACCCAGACATTACCCAATCTTTCTGTGCCTCAAATAACTCTTCTGTAAAAGAGCTACCTAGCTCCTGCAGTCATTACGATAGTCAGATGAATTTATATTTACACAACACTGGCACATACTAGGTATCAATAATACACAAGTATTTATTTGTCAAACTAAATAATAAAGAGTACTGGGTAACACGAGCCTGTAGATTCTGAGTGTATGCCTGACCAGCTCTCTTTGCTAAGTAGAAAGCTGCAGGTGTAGAGGACAGAGGTTAAATTAAACCTAGTTAGTCTACCTCCTGAGGGAGCCAGCACCAGTAACCAGTAAACAAATAATGAAATGAAATACAGAAAATGTCCACCAAGCATCTTTTGGAACAACTCAAGTGGTGTAAAACTTGAACTTTAAAGAAAAATCAAATCTGTATAAATAGCTAAAAGGTCATTCAAAGCCAACTCTGATGAATGTGGTTAAGCCATATTATTTTCTGGCCAAAAACATAAACAGGCTGGAACAAAGAAATGCTGTTAATTTCTCCTGTGATATAAAAATTGACTCTAAAGTTAGCACTAATGGGAGTTCCCAAAAGATTTTGAAAAAAGTACAGCACTTTTGACTATCAACACAGTTCTGAAGGGCAGCATCTATTTTTAGAATTGCCCTTGATTGTAACAAATGTGTGGGATGCTGAGGGTGGAGGCAGCTGTGCATGCTTGGGGGGGGGCAGGGGTAACTGGGAGCTCCATTTTCTGCTCAACTTTTCTGTAAATCTAAAATGTCTCTAAAAAATACATTCTATTGAAAAATTACTCTATTTGGTAAACTGCTATTATAAATTTGAAATCAAGTTATAAGCAAAATTAAGTGAAATTCTGTCCTCTGGCCTGAGTAGAAGAGTTCCTCCCTACTCATCTGATGCTTTTTCAAATGAAGGCCCTCTAAGAACAGACAAAATATGGCTCAGAGAAGTTCTTAAGAACAAAATTAAATTTATCTTAAAAAAATTATTTGAAAGTGTCATAGATAATGATTCCCTGGTTCATTTAATAGTAAAAACAATCTTAAAGGTCAACTCCAAATGGCAGATACAAAGGAGAAAAGTGAATCACTGCACGTACTGAGAATTCAAATCCTTCTATATGACACAACTATTACAAAGCTCACAAACTAAAGGTGAAGCAAATTCATGAATCTGTACTTAAATTTAAGTATCACGCACTAATCAATTGCACCAGTCAGGATACATGAATTTTTACTTTGGAAGTGAAGCTACTAGATGCACATTCAAACTCTGCTGACTCAATTCTGCTCTATGTTCTGACTTCTTTCATTTATTTAAAATATATAGTATCAAATATGTGTCAGGCCCTGCTTTTCACACTGTACAAGTATTACCTTATTTTAGCATCATAAAATCCCTCTCAGTTCACTTCAGTTCAGTTGTTCAGTCGTGTCCCACTCTTTTCGACTCCATGGACTGAAGCATGCCAGGCCTCCCTGTCCATCGCCAACTACCGGAATTTAGTCAAACTCATGTCCATCGAGTTGGTGATGCCATCCAACCATCTCATCCTCTGTCGTCCCCTTCTCCTCCCACCTTCAATCTTTCCCAGCATCAGGGTCTTTTCAAATGAGTCAGTTCTTCACATCAGGGGGCCAAGGTATTGGAGTTTCAGTTTCAGTATCAGTCTTTCCAATGAATACGCAGGACTGATTTCCTTTAGGATGGAATGGTTGGATCTCCTTGCAGTCCAAGGGACTCTCAAGAGTCTTCTCCAACACCACAGTTCAAAAGCAGCAATTCTTTGGCGCTCAGCTTTCTTTATAGTCTAATTCTCACATCCATACATGACTACTGGAAAAACCATAGCTTTGACTAGACAGGACCTTTGTTGGCAAAGTAATGTCTGCTTTTTAATAAGCTGTCTACGCTGGTCATAACTTTTCTTCCAAGAAGCAAGCGTCTTTTAATTTCATGGCTGCAGTCACCATTTGCAGTGATTTTGGAGCCCAAGAAAATAAAGTCTGTCACTGTTTCCACTGTTTCCCCATCTATTTGCCATGAAGTGATGGGAGCAGATGCCATGATCTTACTTTTCTGAATGCTGCGTTTTAAGCCAACTTTTTCACTCTTCTCTTTCACTTTTATCAAGAGGCTCTTTAGTTCTTCACTTTCTGCCATAAGGGTGGTGTCATCTGCATATCTGAGGTTAAGTGATATTTCTCCCAGTAATCTTGATTCCAGATTGTGCTTCATCCAGCCCAGCGTTTCTCATGATGTACTCTGCATAGAAGTTAAATAAGCAGTGTGACAATATACAGCCTTGATGTACTCCTTTTCCTATTTGGAACCAGTCTGTTGGTCCATGTCCAGTTCTAACTGTTGCTTCCTGACCTGCATACAGATTTCTCAAGAGGCAGGTCAGGTGGTCTGGTATTCCCATCTCTTTAAGAATTTTCCACAGTTTGTTGTGGTTCACACAAAGGCTCTGGCATAGTCAATAACGAAGAAATAGGTATTTTTCTGGAACTCTTGCTTTTTCAATGATCCAACGGATGTTGGCAATTTGATCTCTGGTTCCTCTGCCTTTTCTAAATCCAGCTTGAACATCTGGAAGTTCATGGTTCATGTACTGTTGAAGCCTGGCTTGGAGAATTTTGAGCATTACTTTACTAGTGTGTGAGATGAGTGCAATTGTGCGGTAGTTTTGAGCATTCTTTGGGATTGCCTTTCTTTGGGTTTGGAATGAAAACTGACCTTTTCCAGTCCTGTGGCCACTGCTGAGTTTTCCAAATTTGCTGGCATATTGAGTGCAGCACTTTCACAGCATCATCTTTTAGGATTTGGAATAGCTCAACTGGAATTCCATCACCTCCACTAGCTTGGTTCTTGGTGATGCTTCCTAAGGCCCACTTAACTTCACATTCCAGGATGTCTGGCTCTAGGTGAGTGATCATACCATCATGATTACCCGGGTCGTGAAGATCTTTTTTGTACAGTTCTTCTGTGTATTCTTGCCACCTCTTCTTAATATCTTCTGCTTGTTACATCCATACCATTTCTGTCCTTTATTGTGCCTATCTTCACATGAAATGTTCCCTTGGTATCTCTAATTTCCTTGAAGAGATCTCTAGTCTTTCCCATTCTATTGTTTTCCTCTATTTCTTTGCACTGATCACTGAGGAAGACTTTCTTATTTCTCCTTGCTATTCTTTGGAACTCTGCATTCATATGGTTATATCTTTCCTTTTCTCCTTTGTCTTTCACTACTCTTCTTTTCACAGCTATTTGTAAGGCCTCCTCAGACAACCATTCTGCCTTTTTGCATTTCTTTTTCTTGGGGATGGTCTTGATCACTGCCTCCTATACAATGTCACAAACCTCCATCCATAGTTCTTCAGGCACTCTATCAGATCTAATCCCTTGAATCTATTTGTCACTTCCACTGTATAATCATAAGGGATTTGATTTAGGTAATACTGAATGGTCTAGTGGTTTTCCCTATTTTCTTCAATTTAAGTCTGAATTTGGCAATAAGGAGTTCATGATCTGAGCCACAGTCCACTCCCGGTCCTGTTTCTGCTGACTGTATAGAACTTCTCCACCTTTGGCTGCAAAGAATATAATCAATCTGATTTCAGTATTGACCATCTGGTGATGTCCATGTGTCGAGTCTTCTCTTGTGTTGTTGGAAGAGTGTTTGCTATGAGCAGTGTGTTCTCTTGGCAAAACTCCAAAATCCCTCTCAGTAGGTGTTATTACTGTCCATATTTTACAGATGAGGAATTGGAGACAAAGGTTCAGTGATGTCCTCAGAAACATAGCTAATAATTTCTGGGGCCAAGATCCACGTGCTCCTAACACTGTTCCTGTTATCCCCTTTCCCCAAATCCAGAGAAGTAGGTCAGAAGCAAATTAGGAAGCAAGAGATTGGAATAATACTGTAAAGCAGCTATTATACTTACCTAGAGGAAGATTATCCCTCTCCAAGAGAGTAAAAAGTATAAGAAAGATCTAGAAAAGCCCAATATTTGCAGGATCATTTAGAATTACACATATCGAGCCCCTGAGAGCATTAATATATTCCATCATAAAATAACAGGTCCTTCTAAATGCCCTTATGTCAGTCAGTCATTCAACAACTCAACAAATTATCAGTGGAGCACCTAGCTATCCAATAGGAAAAACATCAAATTATGTTATCTTGCAGAAGACAAAGAAATTAAACATTTTAGGAAAAACTCATCACAAAATGTATATAGCTTAAGGGAGAGCTTAAAATTTATGCAGTTTAAACTTCACTTATGTAGAAAATTTAACTACATCAAATTTTAATATTGCAACAATGCTAGACAGTTGAATTTTATTCTTAGAAAAGCATAAGTTTCTTACTTAGTATAACAACAGAATAACATCTACAGAAAAAGTGATGTCATCTGAACTTAAATGCCTCTACTATGTTTCTAAAGAGTGTTAGAGGTAAAACAACACTGTTTCCCAAGGTTTCACTTACGATTTACTCTACTTGATCAGAAATGATTTAAAAGCATTTTCCTTACTGGATTGGTAGCATTCTGTTTCCAAAGGTGCAATGCTCCGTGGAAAGCATGAGCGATGATCATGGAGCCATCTTCACTGAACTGGCAATCATAAAATCCCAGGGTATTGCCACCTACTTCTCCTACTCGAACCTACTCAACAATACACAGAAAACAAGTCATAACCAATTTCTCAAAACAGAAACCACCGATTCCAGAGATTAGGTTCTTACCTATTTAACATACACAAAGAGGGAACACCTGTAGCTCTAGGAACACAGACTTGGGATTTACTGCTTAATAAACTCATTTTTCTGTTCCTTAAATATTCACATTTTACCTGTTCTAGCCAAACTCCTGACTCTTCATCTGGAGCCCAGAGAATCATGGTTTTATCCATTGAGGCAGACAACAATCTCATTGGCTGTTGTAGGATACCATCTAAAGAAAAAAAACAAACTACACTAAGTCCTCTAAATAAAATTACAAATTGCACACTTTCACAGAGGCAGTGTTCGCCATGTTCAGTCATGTAAGTTAGTTCACGTGTCTAGCATACATTTGTCACCTGTATGCATCCTCTACAAGTGGTCATGCTTTTGTGTACTTTACAGCACTGTACAGAGTCCAGTGGTACAGTATCTTTATTTCAAGCTAGATTTGCAAGAGGTTCACTGAACTTCTTGGTGTGCGATTCGAGGCACTTTCTAATGAAGACCTCCAATGAAGAATTGGGAGGCCCAGAGAAAGGACAAAGAGAGAAGAGAGGAAAAAGAAACTGAAGAACTGAAGAGATTCATGACACAGGAAACGGCAAGACCATTTTATTTGAGGAGGTACTGTTGGTTTTTCAGGCACAGGACCTGAATGTAGACCAGTACACACGAAGGTTGCAGCAGCCATTCAGAATACAATCCAGTGCTACCTTGTCACCTATGACAAGAAAAGAAGAGCTGCTACCCAGACATCACTGGATCATTTTTTCAATAGGCTTAGATAGACTTGAATCCAGTAAAGAACCAATCCTTTGCCATCAACATTAGGTGTTGAGTGAAACTGCAGCCTGACCTTCATCTTTTGACAACCCTTCAGTTCTACCATCTCCCACCTCTTCTCCCTCCTTCCGTCAGTAACTCTTCTTGCCTGTTCACTCAATGCCAGCCTCTGTATGCCAGCTGTTGTGTTGCACTACCATACTTTTCAAGGTACAATGCTCTTAAAGATGTTTTATTACTTGTGTGAAAGTATTATACATTTATTACAGTACTATATAGCCAATTGTATTAAGCTAAAAAGGCAGGTTGTACAAGCAGAAATGCATATTGATATCATTTTAACAGGTATAAAACAATTTTGTTTATGGTTACATAAATGTATAGTATAAAAGTATAAAAACTGCATGGGAATAATGTACACTGAATTCAGCCCTTAAGGAAGGATGGAGGGGGACGGGTTCAGGAAACACCACACAGGGATCCCCAATATCTGTATCTAATTTATCTCTTACTTTAATTAATCATTTATTTTTGGCTGTGCTGGGTCTTCGGTGCTGCGCGGCTCTCTCTAGTTGCGGCGAGTAGGGCAGCGAGGGCCTCTCACTGCGGAGGCTTCTCTGGCTGTGGAACAAGCTCTAGGTGCACGGACTTTGGAGGCTCCAGTGCGTGGGCTCAGTTGGGGCTCTCAGACTCAGTAGTCGGGGCACACGGATTCAACTGCTCTGCAGCATGTGGAACTTTCAGGCCAGAAATTGAACCCAGGGCCCCTGCACTGGCAGGCGATTCTGATCCACTGTACCACCAGGGAAGTCCTGTAATATCTAATTTATCTTTTTTTCAACTGCAGCAAATATGACATAATATAATAAAAGCTGGGTGGTGTTACCTGAGCATTAATTCCTGCTGCTCTCTACTCTTGTCTTGGGGAAGGGGCTGGGAGAAGAAAACGGGGCTGCTGCCGCGCTCAGCTCTACACCTCAGTGCCAACTCGAACGGGCACACAATCATCACTCCATAAACAGAGGTTAAGGGCAAAAGACAGAAGGAAAATCTTTACTTAGTCATAAATGATGTAGCTTGGCATTACCAACTTCGTATTTCCAGGGGTAAAGGATCAAGTGAAGTTGACTTGAAAGTCAATTTCTCTTAAACCCCACAAGGACCAGGTAAAAACTTTAGAGATAAAAAGTTAAAAGCCATATGGCAGTTTTGGCATCAAAGCAGGAATCATACTTTTCCCTCTTAGAAATACAACTTTTAATGAAATTGAAGAGCTAGCTGAACAGGTTACAGTATTATACTCTGCCCACATGAAAATGTCTAATACTTGAGATTTCTTTTCTTTAATCGTTTGTTTTGGCCGGGCTGGGTCTTCATTGTGGCACACTGGCTCTTCGCCGCTGTGCTAGGGCTTTCCCGAGCTGCAGCAAGCAGGGGCTCCTCTCGAGTTGTAGTGGGCAGGCTCCTCACTGCAGTGGCTTCTCTTGTTGCAGAGCACGGGATCTAGGATGCGTGGGCTCAGCAGCTGTGGTTCACAGGTTAGTTGCCCTGTGACATGTGGGAACTCAGTTCCAGACCAGGGACTGAACCTGTGTCCCCTGCACTGGCAGGCAGACTCTTAACCCCTGGACCACAAGGGCAGTCCCTGATATCTCTAACTACACTCAAAAATATCCTCTACTTCACTTCATCGGCTTAAAATACTATCAGTCACATTTAATTGAAATGAGGGCTTTGTGTTTGATTTTCTTCCTACCTTTGTAAAATGAAGGCTGCCAATGAACTGCATTTACCCAGTTTTCATGACCAGCTAGTACAGTCTCCAGAGTAACTGCAAATGTTATTTTAATACCTACAACCAAAAAAAAAAAAAGATTCTTCCCACAAAGCTCTTTTTAAAAGGAACATTTTCATAACCAACTCAGTTGTACAATTACATTAAAAAAAAATAAGAACAGAACATGATTTAGATTCAACAAAAAACATTAATTCTAAATTTCATTAACTTTACCCCTTATTCAAAATTACAGGAGAAAAAAGATATATAAATTCTAAAGACGCATCAATTTTTCTTTATGTTTTGCCTACTTGGCTATAAATAAAAATTAAGGGATATATTCTATTTTAAATTTTCAGGGACAGTGACTCTTACTCTATCATTAAAAAAAAAAAAAAAAAGACATGCCGGCCTCCTTTGTTATCCTCACTCATTATATGAAATAGTCTAAACTACCATTAAAAAGAGACAATATCCCTAAGATAAATGTAAAAATAAAGGAAGTCAAATCAGTATTGTGAACTTTTAAACAAAATAATTAATGAAAATATTACAAAAGTTTTCATATTTGGAAACAATATGCTTATAGTATTTCTTGGTTCTCTCCATAAATCTGTCACCAAATATCAACTCTAATGGGTGTTATAACCAAGAAGAGTAATGTCAAAGAAGTATACTTCTGGATGAACAATGTTTAATAAGGATTAACATTATGATTTTCATATCCATAGAAAATTATCTCCTTTAAATACAACATTCCAACAGAACCTACCATGGAGGGGTACTGTTCTGATGCCAGACAGTAAGAAAATCAGAACTACATACACCATTCAAATATAGGAATTTAGTTGTCTCTTATGAACATCCTCCAAGAAAGGTATGAATAATTCACATTATTCCTTTAGATCTTCCTATGCTAAAACTGAAATTTAAGTAAAATTTTACAAACTAATTTATTGAGAAAATACTAAACCTTTTCAGCAACTAAAAAAACCTAACATGGTTTAGAAAAGTAAGTTTCATATATTAAAAATGACTTACTCTCACATAAAAATAAAAAAGGAAAAATGCATAGTGTAAGTTTCAGCTAGGGATCTGATACTTCTGAAAACGTAACCTTCACATATGTGTGTAGTGATACAGATAAATAAACCAGCTAGGAAATCTAAGAATTACTGCATTAAATATTTTCCTTATTACTCACTTTCATTTTCTACAGTAAAAGTATTTTCTTTCAGTTTTATATTATCATCTTCCTGAGTTTCTAAAGATGTTGATTTTATATACAGTTTCCATATGCGTATCAGGCAATCTTGTGAACAGCTTGCTAGGAAAAGATCTCTTCCTAGTTAGAAAAACAGATATTATTATTTTTAGAACATTCTATTCTTAAATTTAAGTATGAGTTTTTCTTATACAATACACACATTTCTAGATTTCCTGAAAAAATCAGACTTTGCTTCCCTTTCATTCATTTGACCTATATTCATTTTCAATGACATTGACAAATACACATAAAATGCTAATAGTTATAATATTTGGTATTCCTGTACAATCTACTAATTTCTATGAAGAACTTCTCAAGACTGTCTGCACATGTAATAGCTAGTGTCCTCTTGTAAGGATCAACCTATGTCATCCTCTGCCATCCCAACTAATACTTAATACAAAGGATAAGTATCCTCTTTTCTAATTGGGCCAACAGAAAAATGTCACATACAAAGAAAATGTTAAACGTTAAGAGGCTGCTTTTTTGAAAGTTACACATACTTGTCTGCATTATATGTACTTTAGCAATATTTCATACTGACCAAAGGCTGCCCATTCCACGCCTCTTATCCAATCCTCATGTCCAGAGAGAAAAAGCATTTTCTGAAACTAATAAGATAACAAAAATCACAGGACTTAATGTAAGAATTTAATATTTTAATGTGTATCAGTGACTTCATTTGATCTCAGCCATTCCTCCTGCATTTTTTTAAAAAACTGGGAACCCTATCTGATCAGTCATAAGATAGAGTTTTCACTTGGGAATGAAAACAAATCTCATCTTCTATATCCTTTAACTGAGGAGTCATGAGTAGATAATATCTGTAGTCCCCAAATACACCAACTGTTCACAAGGTAAAATGACATATGCTGTGGATACAATATAGAAAAAAGCTGGGGGGCTGAACACAATGATTTTTAACTTTCTTATAAAATGCAAAGAAACAAGTATCTCTGTTATTAACTAGGGATTCCCTGGTAGCTCAGCTGGTAAAGGATCCACCTGCAATGCAGGAGACCCTGGTTTGATTCCTGGGTCGGGAAGATCCGCTGGAGAAGGGATAGACTATGCACTCCAGTATTCTTGGGCTGTCCTGGTGGCTCAGCTTGTAAAGAATCCGCCTGCAATACGGGAGACCTGGGTTTAATCCCTGGGTTGGGAAGATCCCCTGGAGAAGGGAACAGCTACCCATTCCAGTATTCTGATCTGGAGAATTCCATGGACTGTATAGTCCATGGGGTCACAAAGAGCGGGCACGGCTGAGCGACTTTCACTCACTCACTACTAACTAAATGAGCACAGGGTTAACCAACCCTCTTTCTGAAACTTCCCTCCGGTTTAATCACTCAAAGAACAGGAAAAGATTACAAGGACAAATAATCACTGCTAGGGGTGTATTTCACGGTAGTATGTTACACTTCATTTAAATTTCTTAAGAAAAAATACTACTACAACATTTCCCTCTCTTCTTCCCCACCTAACAACCTGTCTTCCACAACAACTCTGGACTTGGAGGCCAAAGCAGCAGCAGAGTACCTGGTGATCAAAGAGTGACAAGCGGTTTAACAGAGGACTGTCAAAAAGATTTTCCTATTGGATTGGTCAGCTTAGATTAGGACACCCCCCAAATTCTATAACCTAGAAAGTCTGTCTTAAGATATGGAATTAAGCAGAACATAATTCTAGCCTCTTAAAGAAACATGAACAATTACCTGACTGTTTTGTTGAACAAATAAGTGAATTTTGCAGTCATCATCGCCACATGCTAATACTGGCACTGGGAGGAAAAAGAGGCATCACTGTAAGCATCATATAACATACATATATAAAACATCATACAACATCATAACATCCATCCTATGTTATGACAATCACCTATGTGCGGTCCTAAGTTCTAAGTAGAGCCTCGACTTCTATTTCCCACATCACTGAACAAATAAATTGAAAGCGCTCAATAAACATCTTTAGGAATAAAATGAATATTCTAGAATGTTCCATTAAATGGATACTTGGCAAAGAATGACTATTAACAGAATCCTCTCCTCTGTTCTGTGTCATTTACGATAGAAGGAGCAGTAAAAAGAGCTCAGCAGTAAAAACAAGCTGGGAGCACTTAACCATGTCAGCCAGAACACTTAACAGGAATCATTAGCCCAAGTGAATAATAAAAAATCCAGGAGAGCGACTAAGAGCCCAGCATACTGGTTATTGCACAAAGATTTAAGGGTATGTTTGTTACTTTGAAGAATTTGTTTCAAGAATTTGATAATAAAACAAAATCTATGGCATAATTAAAGAACAAAATAAAAGCACATATATAACTATGTGGTTAAAAAGCTATGAAAGTTGTGACTGTAAAATTAGTTTTCTTTAAATTAATTTAAAAAAAAAGTCAAAAAACTCCAGTCACTCAGCCTCAATGCAGATGCTAAGAAATGAAATTCTATGTAACGAAAACCAGAACAGAACGTGCGCAGTTCCTCCTCCCGGGGAGCCTTGGCAGAAAGTGGAACATCACGTGAAACCACGAGTTGCAGCTCCCACTGCAGAGGGCAAAACAGCCTGGAGGTTTCTAGGCCCAGCCTCTGCCCACCAGCTCTGTCCTCCAGGCAACTGAGGAGCCACAAGACTGTCTGACATGCACTGGCCACCATCCTGGTGGAGAATAATCAAAGACAGGTACAGACGGGCTTCCCAGCAAAAGGATATTTTTTGTTTAGAGATTTTAAGTGGTCTGAGGCAAACTGTCACTGTGCACGACGGGAAGGGGCTGTCACCTTGAGAGAAATGCTCACAGGGCCCATCCCTAGTACTTTCTCAACTTATCCCAGACCTCCACCTTCTACAGAGGTAGGCACTTTTCCCAAATTACATCTACATTGACCATATATCTGATAAATAGGAGTATCAATCTCGAGTTTATATTAAATCACTTAAATTCTTAACAGCTACTGAAGTTTCTAACAGCCACCCCCTTTACCTTATGTTTTATACACAGATCATTTGACTACTGAGAACAAAAGTATGTTATTCATGTCTTTCAACTTGTCTCCTAAAAATATTTAGACACAAAATTAAGATCCAATATGTTTCTTTTAGGTCCTGGTTGTATGAAGATATAAAAATATGTTGCTCTTTTAATATACACTTAGCAGGAAACTCACCATCAGTATTAGGCAAAAAAGACAAGCAGAGAGCCAGAGCGAATCCATTTCCAAAGTTCAAGGTCTGAAGGCATGTCACTAAGAAATAAAACACACCATGAACAACTAACTCAGCTTATCCACCTGGAGAGGTCCAGTGGCATCATCAGAACCCTGGAGGTCAGCAGGGAGATGAGAGAAGTCAATCCTGAGCCCCCAGTGACAATGGGAATTTAAATGGTCAGCTTTTAAGGTTACAAGAGAACAAGGTTACAGAGAACAAAAAGACTTAAATGAAAACGCTTTGAAGGAATTTACATTATCAACAGTTTGGTAAACAGGAATTCTAGAAAAGTGCAAAAGAAAAAAACATTCAGATTAGAATTCTAACATTTCAAAAACATTTTCAAAAACTTCTTAAAAGACTGAAAAAATTGTGAGGATGCTCTTCTAAGATGCTATTCATTTGATAATTACTATTTCACCTGTTTGGAACAACACCTGTAAACCTACCTTCAGAACCCTCTTTAGACCAGATTCGAACAGTAGAATCGGAAGCCGCGGACACTATCAGTGTGTGCAAAGCAAGGTCTGGTGCCCTCCTCTGGTAAACAGCATGCACAGCATAAACAGGGCCTTCATGGCCATAGATGGGGACTGCTTTTAAAAGCTGAATCACAAAGAATAACAAAAATGCTATGTTAAACAAAAGAATGATCAGTTTCACCTGCACTTAACTAGAATCAGAGGATTAAAGGCGTTGTTAAAATGCCTGACCCAGAAATCAGTCCTCTCAAGCTGAGAGAGTGAAGGACAGGGAAGCCTGGCGTGCTGCAGTCCATGGGGTTGCAAAGAGTCAGACATAACTTAGCGATTGAGCATGAACAAGCTGAGAAGAACATAAACTTGTGAGAAGTCTTTCTGATCATATTAACAACACACAAAATGTGCACATCCCTTGACATAGCAATCTCACATCTAAGAACCTACTCTTGAGAGAGCAGCACTAGTTTAACAGATAATAGACAAATGTAAAAGGATACTTATCGTACACTCCTCAGGAAAATTGGAATCAACTTAAAAGTATTAACAGGAAAAAAAAGTATTAATAGGAAACTGATTAAATAATTTTAGACTTATATTCTAAGCCAACAAAAAGGATAACACTCACTTATCACCATGCAAAGACATCCATGACATTGATACTTTTGAAGACTACAGGCCAGATTTGTGGACTGCTCCTCCTCTAAGACTGGTCTGATGTCTCCCCATGAACAGATTCAGGGCTGACACTGTGACGTCATCACAACATCAGTGTAACACACCAGGAGACAAGCAATGTCAGCCTGTTGCACTATCAGTGAAATTACCTTTGATATTTTAGCAAAGGTAGTGTTAACCATGTTTTTTCACTATGAAAATTTTTTCTGTGGTAATATGTGAGATTATGTTTTGGAACTGAGTAAATGTTCTGTTTTGCATCAAATTTTTACCAAGTTTTTCAGCATCCACTCATAATACTTGCATGTATCAAGCAGAGCTACAAAACAAAGAGCTAGCAAAAACTGGAAAATCCCACCTGGTTATCAGTCTTCCTGTTTGCCATGCAAGATTATGCCCTGTGGTTAACATTTCTGTTATTGTGAGTCTGTATTTTTAGAGTTCCAAATATGTAAGATTTACCACTTTCCTTGAGAAGTATGTTTTGTAAATTGTTGTCTGCTGAAATAGAGTTATCTTAAATATCTCAATTGTTTTTCCAATTACTTAAGTAGAACTCTGCCACTCAAAAAGGTAATTAATAGTTATGTATAAGGCTTTGTACACTAACTTCCTGTAGTCATTAACCTTTGACTTCCCTGAAAAAAACACTTTTTTTCTTTAAAAAAACACTTTTTAAAACTCAAGTAAACAACATCACTTTAGTACACAATTAAACACTAGAGATATGGAACAATCTTCACTAGAATGTTAGCCACAGAAATTTTGTGTCTTTTTCCTTCTTTATACTTTCCGGTATTTAAAATTTACTGTTACTGTTGTTGCTCAGTCACTAAGTCATGTACAACTCTTTGCAACCCCAGGGACTGCAGTATGCCAGGCTCCCCCGTCCTCCATTATCTCTCGGAGATCACTCAAATTCATGTCCACTCTGTCGGTAATGCTATCTGAGTCTGTATAATTACCTCCCAAGTGTTAAATCTGTGGAAAAACTCATTTCACACCTGTTTTTTATGTTTTATTTTATACTGAAGTATCATTAATTTACAGTGTTACATTGTGTTATACATATTCTTTTTCATATCCTTTCCTATTACAGTTTTGAATAAAGATCCCTATGCTATACAGTAGGGCCTTGTTGTGTTATCCATTTTATATAGTTTGTATCTGCTAATCCCAGGCTCCTAATTTTACCCCCCATCCCCTTCCCCCTATGGCAATCATAGATTTGTTTTCTATGTCACTTCACATCTTTAAGCAGAATTTTATTTCAACCATCAGAGAATCTTAAAAGATCAAACAAAACCAATCTCTCAAGTTCACTGGCTTATTAGAAAACAACACCCACTGGTCAAAGACTCAAATCTCTCATTATGCCAGCTTAGAACTATTTCCTTTTATCAGAAGTCAAGATGCACTGAGCACCTGTGTGCCTGAAAATGCATGCCAGACGGAACCTTTAAGCCTCTCAAGTTACAATGTGTGACTCCTTCCCCCAAATCCTTTTATTGCCTTCCTCCCTCTTTGATGCCTTTCGTCTTCCTCCTCTTCCTGTTTGGCCTCAAGCCTCCTTTCTGGTCATGTCTAAGTTCTCTCTCTGCCATCAGATACTTAGCCTGCAAGTCCCTCTACTGACAGAAGCTTAGAGCATCACTAACGGAAGAGTCTTGCAAGTCTCAACTCAAGGTCTCAAAAATGAGTGCTCAAGTGGTTCTCTCTGAATTCCTCTGCCAAGTTAAGTCCAAATAGGAGCTGCTTTGCTACATAAGCCTTTGCAGTTCTCATTCAAGTCTAAGTGTCTCCACAATCTCCACCTCCAAACCTGGCCCTTTTCTCTGGAGACAAGTCTGGGTGTCTGGCCAGCAATACATGTAAAATGTTTACAACATCTTCCCTCCCACTTGCCTATTTTGCTTTGTAGAAGCATCTTTCTTCCAGGGCCCAGAGACAGAATCCCACTGTTTTTGATTTCTCACTTCTCTACGCACGAGCTTCCCACTCCTTTGGCAACTTATCTAGTCAATGCCAAAATCATTTTTTGCCTTCAAAAATACATTTCATATCTCTTCCTTCATAGTTTTTCCTACCCCAATTTGGCACACTCCTGTCAGACTCATTTTCCTTTGGCATACACACTCCCTGCCTAGAAACCCTGCTGCTGCTGGTGGGTTTCGTTGCGGAGCCGAGTCCGACTCCCGGAACCCTGTCAGAAGCCCACCAGGCGCCTCTGTCCGTGGGCTCTTCCAGGCAAGAAACCCTGAATGCCTTCCAACGCCCGTTCAGAAAGAACAAACTCTCGAACCCAAAGTCTCACAAGGTCGTCTCCTCCTCTTCTTACCAGAAAAGCAACACTTCTGCTGCCCACCCTGTGGTATCCAGAAATATTTCCAAAACTGTGTTCCTCAAAGTTACAACGGATGCTAAGGGACTTAAAGGGGGGTGGGGAATCAGTCTTGAAGGAAACACTGGTTGAAAAAAGATGAGCAGGTCTGTCCATGTCAGAACTTTTCAGAGCCTTCACTATGCTCATGTACATTTAATGATTCCCTAAGAGAAGTGTATGTAGCTTTTCCACAGTGACCACAGATTCCTTTTTACAGAGCTTAAAGATGAATAATTCTCCGAACGAGCTCGAAAAGCCCTGCCCTTAAGACATCTTAGGCGATGGTGGAAACTGGATACTTCTGAGCAAATGGTCTCCTTTCTTACCTGAGCTTTGATTCATGCATTTGTCCTACCTGGAATCCTCAACCCTTTCATTCTTCCTAAGAAAATCATCTCATACTATTAGACTCAACTCAAGAGCTGCCTCTTAAATCCCTACTGAGCTTTCACAGCGGCATGGTTGTGGTTCAGCAAGTGCAAGCACTCACCCGCAGAGCCACCTTTGTACTTATTAAACAAATTTGTAGTTATTTAAGCATATTTTGCCCTCGATATATATGCACAATTCTGAAAAGGATTCTGCCCCACTTGTATCTTCTGCATGGCAGATGTTCAAGTATCTGATGCACCAACTTCACATTTTTAATCTCTGCTTCCAACTAGAACCAACCTAAACGTCCATCCACAGAGGTCCATGCACCCCCAATACTGCATATTATAACATTACGCAAAATTATATAAATCTATATCCACAGGCAACCATTGTCCCATGCACACAGCAGTATGAATTTTTGCAGTCACTGAAAACAAAACAGCCCATGTAACAGCACTTTGTAAATTATTTCAAATGATAAGAAACTCAAAGAAATGACTGACAGCCTATGAATATGGAAGCAGGTATTAGAAGGAAGGGGACAGGACCTATGACATGGAAGATACAGGATCTGAATTACTGATAAGCAAGAATGAGGCACTTCATCAAGGAGGAACACAAGAAAAATGACAGGAAAAATTGAAAATAAATGTAGGTATGACAGTCATTTCTTATAACTATAAACATGTCTACCCACCTGATTATTCTCTATTTCCCAGTGAATCACTTGATTATCAGATCCTCCAGAAACTAATTCAGTTGAAGAAGCTGAAAAAAATTGTATCTCAGTGAACATTTTTTTCCCAGATATTTTGAAAAACTTCAAAGCTATGGAAAAAACAAAACTCACATACCTTTACCTGTATTCACCAACTGTTAAGATTTTGCCATATTTGCTTAATATCTTGCTCTCTGTATGTACATTTATACACACCTCCATTTTTGCTTTTGACAAACCATTCAAAAATAAGTTGGAGGCATGATGACCTTTGATCCTTAAGATATTTTGCCCTATTCTTCTCAAAAACTGGAACATTCTCCTACATTGTTGTTGATTAGTCGCTCAGCTGTGTCCGACTGTCTGCAACCCCATGGACTGTAGCCTACCAGGCTTCTCTGTCCATGGAATTTCCCAGGCATAAATACTGGGGTGGGCTGCCATTTCCTTCAATAGGGGATCTATCTCACCAGCGCAGGGATCGAACCTGCATTTCCTGCATTGACAGGTGGATCTTTTACCCACTGAGCCACCACATATAATTATCACATTCAAGAATGTTAACACTGACACAGTAATGTTATGCAATAATACATATTAAAATTTCCCAAGATTTGTCCCAGTAATGTCTTCTGTAACTTCTTTTTTAGTCAAAAATCTAAGGACCATACATTATGCATTTGATTGACACATCTTTTAAGTCTCCTTTAATCCTGAATAACTTTCCAGTTTCTCCTTTTGTTACAATGCAAGTCCAGGCCAGTTGTTTTGCCGAATGTCCCTCAATGTGTATTTGTGTGGTTGTTTCCTTATGAGACTCAGGCTAAATACTTTGGGTAGAAATAACATATACCAGCCATTACAGTTAGCTGGTGCTATCAAGTACATGAAATATTTTTGAAATCAAACACATATTTCAAAATAGCTCCTTCAAACATTTATTTCTTATTGATAGAAGAAAATGAATAAGAATCAAAAAGGGGGAAATAATCTAATATAATTTTGGTTTGGATTTTCCGTTTATTTATTTCTGCTGGTTTATGTTTAGATGGGTGAAACAGCTAGCTGACTATCTAAACACATTAGATTTGTACTCAAAAGTCCCAGGCTCATATCCTAACCCTGCTGTCAGCCAGCTACGATCTTGGGCTTTAATCTCTTCATGTGTCATGGCAATTAAGCCACCGACCTAACTATATGATTCTGATAACTGCTCTAAGATACACGAAAGTAATGTGATAAGAATCAGATGTTTTAAAAATATAAAATAATATCACTAGAATTTCATGTCACTGATATATGGGTTAGAAAGAGTACCTGAATTATCTGGCAATTGAATCCAATTCTGAGAAAATCAATCATAACTATAATAGATTTCAGTGAAACACAAGCAATTCATTTTATGTAACCCCACTTTTAAAGGGAAGATAAAACATACAAGCCCAAATTAACACTTTAAAAGGAATCCCTATACTGAGATTCAAGTAGGCTTTGATGTCATTCGGTGGCAATTAATATAATTACAATTGTATTTTAATATATGCACTAACAGCCACTCCTTCTACTATTTAATGGTTTTTACTGACCTAATGTGACTAACCCTGCATTACTAACTGTAATAAATAGCTTATTAAACTTTTTTTTAATGTCACAGATAAAACCATAGCCAAGTCTCACTAATTCAGGAAATTCTGCCTTTGGGCCTGGCTCAGAATCCACTCTAATGTTCTTGCCTGGAGAATCCCAGGGACGGCAGAGCCTGGTGGGCTGCCGTTTATGGGATCGCACAGAGTCGGACATGACTAAAGCTACTTAGCAGCAGCAGCAGAATGCTCTCAATAAATAGTTGCAAAATCAAAAAATAAAATTAATTCAGAGTCCATAAAAACACTATAGTAGGTATAGTTAAGACGTGAAGAATTTCCACAGGATTTTAGAAGCCCATCTAAAAGCAATGTTAAATAAAAATTCTAGAGCCGTGGAATCTCAGAGATGAAAGACACCTGGAGATAATCTAGTCCAGCAATTCCCAAATGTTTTGATATCAGGACTCCCTGACAACTCATAAAATTTTTTGAAGAGCCCAAAGACCTTTTGTTTATATAGGCTATATGTGCCAATATTAATCACGACAGAAATTAAAACTAAGAAATTTGAAAAATACTTATATATTAGTTCACTTACAAATAACAAGAACATAACTTTTTTTATAGGGAGAAGCCCTGTATTCTCCAAAACAAAAAAATTAATAAGAAGAAAGGCACTGTTTAATATTTCAGAAAACTTCTTTAAAGTCTGACTTTATTAGAACACACCTGAATTTTCATATCTGCTCCTGTGTTTAAACTGTGGCATCATCACACATTATATAGCCACTGGAAAATGGCACTGCATACTTGGAACAGAACGAAGACTAGGAATAACTTCTTCGTATTATTCAGAAAATAATTTTGACCTCATAGGTATCAGGAATCACTCATTGATTTAGTCCAAAGTTTTACTTTTTGTATATTACTAAGATGCAAACTAGCGTCAACAAAAATGCAATGCCTTGCCTAAAAAACCGATTGTTTGTCTGTGGCAGAAACAGACTACCTACAAGCTGAATTTTCTGAATCCCAATCTGGGCTCCAATACAGGCCCTGCATACAGGCTTTGAATCAAAAGCTGTGGGCAATGGCAGGGCTCTCGCGTAAGGGGATGCCTCTACCCTCATCCTAAGGACTGCTGTGTTATCCATGCTTCAATTGCTACAAAGTCGAAGTAGTATAAGTCAGATATTTCATTGGGCATGTCATTTTTCTTCTCTTTTTCTAAATACATAATATCAGATACAGTAATGCTAAATTAAGAGAAGTCAGATTAATACTTACAACCATCCTGTTTACAAATCCACTGTAGGCAATTGACTCGAGCAGCATGACCATTCAGGTTGGTGATAACAACCCTTTTCTTTAGAGGAGAAAACACCAGTTAGTATGTTGGAATGTATCCCACAGAGGAGCTGATAAATTAATAAAAATCATATTTCAGAAAATATTCAGGATTACTTCAAACAGAATCACCTTAACTCATAAACTTTACCATGGCTTAAGTCATCCATTCACTTTTTAAAATTCATTCTTGCCTTTTTCCCCACTCCACATTCACTCAGCCCTACTCTCTTCTTAATTAGGAAGCCTGTCTCCAAAACCCCAGACTAGACAAGAGCCTATGTTCTCACTGGTCTCAGGGCCTACTTTTACCATGCTTGTACAGATTCAAGAATTTGGTTGACCAAAAGAAAAATCCCTTCATTCAGAGAATGCATAATTGATGGATGCAAAACCATGGCTTACTTAGCATGCCAGGGCTGATCTGGTGTTGGGTTCTTCAGCCTTAACAATACAAGGTCACTAGGCCACAACTATGAAGACCCTCAGACATCAGATCCCTTCAGGGCCTATGGCCAGGTTGCCTGCAGATCCTCAGACTGCTGCTTTCACCAGATCACTGCACACCTGGGCTTTCTCTACTTCCCCCACTGCTGGAGACTCTATGCCTACTGGGCCCTCCTCTTACAGCCCTTTCTCTACCGGTTGCCTGGAGCACTGACTTCACACCTGCTTGCACGTCAACTGGAACCCTCACAGCTGAGAAAATGGTATACAAAGGGAAATGTGCATAAGCTAATATAGTTCACATATGGGTTATATGAGTTTGGGAAAGAGTTTAAAGCAGGGGCCGCCAGCTGCTGGGATCTAGTGCCTGATGATCTGAGATGGACCTGGTGTAATAATAATAAACTGCACAATAAACCTAATGAGCTTGAATCATTCCAAAACATACCCTCCCATCCCTGGTCTGTGGAAAAACTGTCTTCCATGAAACCAGTCCCCGGTGCCAAAAATATCGGAGCCTGCTAAAGTATTTCATTGTCTTTCTCACCAGAATGAGAATTTCTTGATGGACAGGAGTCATAACTCATTATTCTTGTGTCATCGCCACTCAGTTCAAGGCTAGCCTCAAAAGTCTGCTGAATGAACATCATCAAAGTTTCACTTTAGCATCTGACACATTTAATCCTCTATTTAATTAAATATCCAGCCAACAATACTTAACAAAACTTTCTAGGATCCATACACTTTTTTCTTCTTGATGTTAAAATTCCCCTGAGATAGCCACCAATTTATCATTAAAAATAGAAATGTGGTAGAAGAGATGGGTACAAATCCATTAGACAGCTGCAGAAAGATAGGCTTCTACAGTCTTAGTTGATGGCCAATGTAAAGCTTACTCTTGGTTTTACGTGCTTTATCTTGCCAGTTAAGAGTGCATGGACAAGAATAAAGCAAGAAGTATAACCCTCCCAGACATCAGACAATGCAGTAATCAAAACAACATGGCACTGGCAAAAAATAGACATATGGATCAATGGAACAAAACAGAGAGCCTAGAAATAAGCCCACACACCTAGGGTCAATTAATTTTTGACAAAGGAGGCAAGAATATACAATGCAGAAAAGACAGTCTCTTTATCAAGAAGTGTCAGGAAAGCTGGACAGCTGTATGTAAATCAATAAAGTCAGAACACACCCTCACATCAAACCCCAAAATAAAATGGCTTAAAGACTTAAATATAAGACATGACACTGCTAAACTCCTAGAAGAGAAAATAGGCAAAACAGTCTCTGACAAAAATTGTATCAGTGTTTTCTTAGACCAGTCTCTCAAAGCAACAGAAATAGAAGCAAAATTAACAAATGGGATCTAATCAAACTTATAAGCTTTTACACCATACCAAAGGAAACCATAAACAAAACTAAAAGACAACCTACAGACTGGGAGAAAACATCTGTAAACGTTGTGACCAACCAGGGCTTAATTTCCAAAATATACAAACAGCTCACACAGTTCAATAACAAAAACAACAACAAAAATTTTCAAAAAATGAGCAGAAGATCTAGACATTTCTAGAAAGAAGACACACAGATGGCCAAGAGGTATGTGAAAAGATACTCAACATCGCTAATTATTAGAGAAAGGGAAAGCAAAACTACAATGAGATATCACCTCACACAAGTCAGAAAGGCCATTATTAAAAAGTCTACAAGTAACAAATGCTGAAGAGGGAGTGGTTGTAGCAGTGGTCTACCCTGCTACACTGTTGGTAGGAATGTAAATGGATGCAACCACTATGGAAAACAGTACAAAGGTTCCTTAAAAAACTAAACACAGAACTACCAAATGATCCAGCTATCCCACTACTGGGAATATACCCGGAAAAGGTGAAAACTCTTAATTCAAAAGATGCATGCACCCCAATGTTCAAAGCAGCATTATTTTTACAATAGTCAAGAAATGGAAGGAATATCTATCGACAGATAAATGGATAAAGGAAATGTGATATACATACACACACACACACACACACACACACACACAAGGTAATATTACTCAGCCATAAAAAAAGAATAAAATAAGGCCATTTGAAGCAACATGGATGAACTTAGAGGTTATCATGCTAGGAAAGTCAGAAAAAGAAAGACAAATATCATTATGTGGGATCTAACATATGACACAAATGAACTTATCTTCAAAACAGAAACAGACTCACAGACACAGACTTGTCATTGTCAAGGGGAATAAAGTGTGAAGGATGGATGGATTCAGAGTTTGGAATTTGCAAAAGCAAGCTACTATATATATGTATAACTAAATCACTTTGCTGTACACAGAAACTTACACAGCATTATATTCAATAAAATAAAGTTTTTGAAGAGTGCATGGTAATAACAAAACAAAAACTGGAAGGAGGCAAGCAAGCTCAAGAAAAATGAGTAGAACTATTTCATTTATAAGTTTGACTCTGCATTGGATAGGAGGATGATGGAACTTTTTAAATATGACTTATTTACAATGATTTAGGTGTAAAGCAAAGTGATTCAGTTATTCTTTTCCAGATTCTTTTCCATTATAGGTAATTGCAAGATACTGAACATAGCTCCCTGTGCTATACTATAGGTCCTCGGTTGTTTATCTATTTTATAAGATATATTGTAGTACATATCTGTTAATCTCAAAGCCCTAATTTATCCCTCCCTGCCCCATTCCCATTAGGCAAAAAAAGTAAGCTTGTTTTCCGTCTCTGAGTCTATTTCTGTTTTGTAAATAAGTTGCTTTGTAACATTTTTTAGATTCCACATGTGAGTGATACCATATGGCATTTATCTTTCTCTGTCTTACTTCACTTAGTATGATAATCTGTAGGTCCATCCATGTGGCGGCAAATGATATTACTTCATTCTTTTCATGGCTCAATTGCATTCCCTTGTGTGTGTCTGTGTGTATATGCATATATATATCTCACCATATCCTCTTTATCCATTCATGTGTTGATGGACATATAAATTGCTTCTATGTCTTGACTGTTGTAAACAGTGTTGCTATGAACATTGTGGTACATGCAACTTTTTGAATTACAGCTTTTGCGTTTTCCAGATATATGTCCAGGAGTGGGATTGCTGGCTCATATGGTAACTCTTAGTTTTTTAAGGAACTTTGAACTGTTTTCCATAATGGCTGCACTAATTTACATTCCCAACAACATCTTAGGAGGGTTCCGTTTTCTCCACACCCTCTCCATATTTATTATTTGTAGATTTTCTGATGACAGCCATTTTGACCAGTCTGAGGTGATACCTCACTGAGGTTTTGATCTGCATTTCTCTAATTAGTGATGTTGAGCATCTTTTCAGTTGCCAGCTGGTCATCTACGTCTCATGTGTCCGTAGTTGTTCAGTCACTAAGTTCCATCTGACTCTTTGCAACCCCATGGACTGCAGCTCACCAGGCTCCTCTGTCCTCCACCATAACCCATACCATGCTCAGATTCATGTTCATTGAGTCAGTGATGCTATCTAACCATTTCATCTTCTGCCTGTATGTCTAGGATGATGGACTTTTTAATAAAATTAATAAACTCAGTTCAGTTCAGTTGCTCAGTCATGTCCCACCTCTTTGTGACCCCATGGACTGCAACACCCCAGGCCTCCCTGTCCATCACCAACTCCTGGAGTTTACTCAAACTCATGTCCATTGAGTCGGTGATGCCATCCAACCATCTCGTCCTCTGTCGTCTCCTTCTCCTGCCCCCAATCCCTCCCAGCATAAGGATCTTTTCCAATGAGTCAGTTCTTCGCATCAGGTGGCCAAAGTATTGGAGTTTCAGTTTCAGAATCAGTCCTTCCAATGAATATTCAGGACTGATTTCCTTTAGGATGGACTGGTTGGATCTCCCTGCAGTCCAAGGGACCCTCAAGAGTCTTCTCCAACACCACAGATCAAAAACATCAATTCTTCAGCACTCAGCTTTCTTTATAGTCCAACTCTCACATCCATACATGACTACTGGAAACACCATAGCTTTGACTAGACGGACCTTTGTTGGCAAAGTAACATCTCTGCTTCTTAATATGCTGTCTAGGTTGGTCATAGCTTTTCTTCCAAGAAGCAAGCATCTTTTAACTTCATGGCTGCAGTCACTATCTACAGTGATTATGGAGCCCAAAAAAATAAAGTCCATCACTGTTTCCCCATCTATATGCCATGAAGTGATGGGACCAGATGCCATGGTCTTAGTTTTCTGAATGTTGAGTTTTAAGCCAACTTTTTCACTCTCCTCTTTCACTTTCATCAGGAGGCTCTTTAGTTCTTCGTCACTTTCTGCCATAAGGGTGGTGTCATCTGCATATCTGAGATTATTGATATTTCTCCCAGCAATCTTGATTCCAGCTTGTGCTTCATCCAGCCCAGCATTTCTCATGATGTACTCTGCATAGAAGTTAAATAAGTAGGGTGACAATATACAGCCTTGACATACTCCTTTCCTGATTTGAAACTAGTCTGATGTTCCATGTCCAGTTCTAACTGTTGCTTCCTGACCTGCATACAGATTTCTCAAGAGGCAGGTCAGGTGGTCTGGTATTCTCATCTCTTTAAGAATTGTCCACAGTTTGTTGTGGTCCACACAACAAACAACACAACGCAGTCAAAGGCCTTGGCATAGTCAATAAAGCAGAAATAGCTGTGTTTCTGGAACTCTCTTGCTTTTTTGATCATCCAATGGATGTTGGCAATTTGATCTCTGGTTCCTCTGCCTTTTCTAAATTCAGCTTGAACATCTGGAAGTTCACAGTTCACATACTGTTAAAGCCTGGCTTGGAGAATTTTCAGCATTACTTAGTACTAATATGTGAGATGACTGCAATTTTGCGGTAGTTTGAGCATTCTTTGGCATTGGCTTTCTTTCGGATTGGAATGAAAACTGAACTTTTCCAGTCCTGTGGCCACGCCTGAATATCCCAAATTTGCTGGCATATTGAGTGCAGCACTTTCACAGCATTGTCTTTTAGAATTTGAAATAGCTCAACTGGAATTCCATCACCTCCACTAGCTTGGTTCTTAGTGATGCTTCCTAAGGCCCACTTGACTTGGCGTTCCAGGATGTCTGGCTCTAGGTGAGTGATCACACCATCGTGATTATCTGGGTCATGAAGATCTTTTTTGTATAGTTCTTCTGTGTATTCTTGCCACCTCTTCTTAATATCTTCTGCTTCTCTTAGGTCCACACCATTTCTGTCCTTTATTGTGTCCATCTTTGCATGAAATGTTCCCTTGGTATCTCTAACTTTCTTGAAGAAATCTTTCCCATTCTATTGTTTCCTCTATTTCTTTGCACTGATCACTGAGGACAGCTTTCTTATCTCTCCTTGCTATTCTTTGGAACTCTGCATTCAAATGGATATAGCTTTCCTTTTCTCCTTTGCTTTTCACTTCTTTTCACAGCTATTTGTAAGGCCTACTCCGACAGCCATTTTGCTTTTTTGCATTTCTTTTTCTTGGGGATAGTCTTGATCCCTGTCTCCTGTACAATGTCACGAACCTTCGTCCAAAGCTCTTCAGGCACTCTATCAGATCTAATCCCTTGACTCTATTTGTCACTCCCACTGAATAATCGTAAGGGATTTGATTTAGGTTATACCTGAATGGTCTAGTGGTTTTCCCTACTTTCTTCAATTTAAGTCTGAACTTGGCAATAAACTAGTAAAAAAAAAAAAAAAAAGCTATTTCCTGCAATGCATTTTAATTCCCAGTATTTTACTTTTTATACTTAGGCTTCTTTTGAGAAGCAACACTAACTGTATTGTCCAAAATCAGCCAGTGGGAACGGGGTCACAATGAACTCAGGGAAGAATGCATAAAGTAGTCACTCGAGAAGTTTGGTAACGAAAAGGCCAAGAAAATAATCATTTGGGTGCAGTTCTGGGAACGGATAAGTGCTTAGGAGCTCCACTTCCTAGGACCTTTGCCCTAATGGTATATTCTTTAAAATGTCCGCTCCCGAAGCTAAACTGCAAGAAATAGTTCTTTGAAACTGAACACAGCAATGGTTTATTAAGTAACACTTAGGGAAATACAAAAATGAGATAGCCCCAGATACATGTATATGTATGGCTGAATCCCTTCACTGGTTACCTTAAACTATCATAATACTGTTCATTGGCTAAAGGCAAACAGAAAACAAAAACTTTAAATTTTAAAAGAATGAGATGGCACCAGTGAGATGGCTTTAATAAACCACATTTAAATGCAAATCTTTTCAAACCCAAATTGATTCCTTAACAGTGTTACAGTTTCCACAGAAGGCTTCAGAAAAGGTTGTCACCGTTTGAATTTCTATGTGGCTAACAGGCCACCTGTAGGACACGGTGACCCCCAGGCTGACCCAGCGCAGGACACTGGCGAGAGGCGAGTGTCGCGCGCCAGAGCCAGACCCACCGCCCAGACACCCTCCCCGAAGTGGATCGGGCCGCACACCGGATCTCCAGGCTCCGGAGCAGCGTCTACAGAGTCCGCCCCCGAGCATACGCAGCAGATGCGGCGCCAGAAGTAGACCGGGTCCGGCCACTTCTCTCACCTGAGGGTCATAGAGCACCACGGAACAGGACGTGCCGAAGGCCATAAGCCCTCCGGGCCCGGGGCTCCAGCTCAGGGCTCCCCGCACCCGGTTCGGGCAGCAAAACACGTGAGACGTCTCCAACACGGGTGCCACCATGTTGCTGTCTGGTGAGCGGCCGAAACCTGGGCACGCACTTCCGCCCTCGGAGCGGAACTGCCTGCCCGCCGCGTCTTCCCGCGGGCGTTATCCGGGCCGCGTTTCCGAGGCGGCCGGGGGCGGGGCGGGGGCGACCCCGCCTCCGCCGGGCCCGCCCCACCCCCACCCCCACCCCAGCCCAAGCGGCCCTCAGTGCGCGTGGTAACCTCTACAAGCCCTCGAGTCGAGGATCGTGGCCCAAGAACGGCCTGCGTCCCAGGAACACAGACGCTACCGGAAGCGCTCAGAACCCCCCAGAAAGACTCAGGACTCGTGTGCCCAGAGAACGTCCCGCTGCCCTCACTGCCGGGATCCCAGCGGCAGACGGGGCTGGCTCGAGGTGGGGGGGGGGGGGAGGGGTTGAGGAACGAGTCTTAGAGAGGCGGGCGGCACGGAGGAGCTGGAGGAAAGACCCCCGGGCAAATCTTGGCGCCCCGCGCGCACAGGGATCGCGTCTCTGCCCCGCTCGAGCCCCGCGGCGCCGGCGAACAGGCGGACCCGTGGATCCGCCCGCCGGGGACGGGGTGGAGCCGCACTGCGCATGCCCCGCAGCAGAGGCCGGCGGAGGCGGTGGCTCCCGGCGGCGTGCTGCGCGCGGCGCTAATTAGTAATTGTCCTCCTGCTCCCGGGAGGCGGCGACGGCGGCGCGTGGGGCGCGGCTTGCCGGGGTCTGCGCGGTGCTACCCCGACCGAGGGGCAGCCGGGCCGATGAGACCGCCGCCTCTCCCTGCAGTGTAGAGATCTCTAGGGAGACAAGTAAGGGTCGGCTCCGCACCGCCGGCGGGAACTTGAACCGGCGCGCGGGAACGGCCCGGGGGTCGGCGAGGCCGCGGAGAGGTGAGTCCCGCAGGTCTAGGAAGGGCGGGCGGAGAGGGGAACCCCTCGGGGCCGGCGAGGCCGGACTTCCCAGTTTGGGGTGCACAGCGGGCTTTGGGGTCCAACGGGATAAGGAAACGGTTTGTCCTGTTCATCTCAATTTTCCAAGAGAGTACAGTGGTGTTTAAAAATTAGCCCTTCGAGGCAGTTTTGCGCGCTCTTTCCCGTTTTCTCCGCTCACCCCTTTCCCAGGCCCTTCCGCTTTTTTCTCCCCCACACGTGTTCTTGCGGGGAAGGAGATCCGTCGTCGGGTCTGGGACCGCCCTAAGCATCCTTCCCTCCCTTGGGAAAGGCACGGAGCTGCTCCTGAGCCATTCGTCCGGGCTGTCCCCACCCATCTCGCTCCTCGTGTATTTCTTAAAGGTTTTCTTCTGCCCGTTAAAACTTCGGGCCCCAAGGATTGTTCTTTTAGGAGTCTAGCCCGGTGATAGTGCGTACGTCCTCTTTTCACAGTACGATAAGCAACAGCTGTGCAATACTGCTGACAGCGTTTGGAGCACTTCCACATACATCCATGCGAGTGGTTTCCTCTGTCTCCGTATAAAATAGGTATTATCAGCTCGTCCAAAGAAGAAGAGCTGAAGGTGGTAGAGCTCAATTGCTCCTCGCCCTTGCCATCTCACTCCGGAGCCCGACCTCTTATTTTCACCGGAGGCAGACCAATTTGGTCACTATCACCACCCATCATTGGCGCTGGGCATCTGCTGGCTGGGTCCTGAGATATTAGTCTAGCTGCTTCTTTGGCCTATACTACTTCATCTGCTTAACTGAATTCTGCTTTTTCAAGGTTCAGCTGGATCCCTAACTCCTCTTTGGTTCCCAGCAGTATTACGCGGATGAGTGATGGAAAAATAAGAGCAACACAGTTTTTTAATAAAGTTTAATTTCCTTAAAAAACTGTTACTATGCAGTCTTTCAAAAAGATGTGATCACTTTGAATATACTCACATGGAAAGATGTCATTTGTTGAGTGTAAAAAACAAAAGATCCCACTAGTATGATTAAGGTGTACATGTACCTGAGTATGTGTGAGGGATTCTCAAGAAACTGGCCAAATTGGTTGCCTCTGAAGAATGGGATTGGGGGAGAAAGGCCTCAAATAGATTTATATATGGTTTAAGAAAAAAATTTTAAATGTGGCTTATTCTGATTGCTATATTTACTTTTTTTTTTTTGATGTTAAAACATTGTTCTATGAAATGGTAGTGGTCGTGGTGGAGGTAGTTAGTTTGGATTTTGAGTTCTTTTGTTTCGAATTCTTGTTTGAAACATGATATAATGCCAATATGGCTGTGACCACGTGGGTCCCTCCAGTCTCTGAATTACTATTGCTTTTATAGTGCTAATTACAGAGTCTTAGCACTCAACTGCTCTCCAGTTGTTTCCCATGTTTCAGCACTGCAGTCGTAGAGCCTAGGACTCCAGTTTGGTTTTTTGTTTGTTTGTTACAGTGTCTAGCACTACACTGATCACTCTAGATGGTACTCTGTTAAACTTGGTTATTTGATTAGACAAAATCAGTTTTCAGCATGAGATTTCTTAATTCAAATTGTTTTGGAAGGGAAGACAAGATTGTTGTTTCTTTCCTTTTGTTTTCTGTCTTCTGTAGGAAGGTGCGATGGCGAGGAGTTTATCAGTGATCTTGATCCTGACCTTGACTCTGTCAGTCACAAATCCCCTTCATGAAGTAGGACCAGCCACTGCTTTCCCTCAGACCACTGAGAAAATTATTCCAAGTTGGGAATCTGGTATTAATGTTGACTTGGCAGTTACCACACGGCAGCATCATCTCCAGCAGCTTTTCCACCGCTATGGAGAAAATAATTCCCTATCAATTGAAGGGTTCAAAAAGTTGCTTCAGAATATAGGCATAGATAAGATTAAGAGAATTCATATACACCATGACCATGAACATCACTCTGACCATGAGCATCACTCTGACCATGAGCATCACTCTGACCATGAGCATCACTCTCACCATAATCATGCTGCTTCCAGTAAAAATAGTCGGAAAGCTCTCTGCCCAGATCATGACTCTGATGGTTCAAGCAAAGACCCAAGAAACAGCCACGGGAAGGGATCTCATCGATCAGAACATGCCAGTGGCAGAAGGAATGTTTTAATCAAGGAGGGTGTTGGTGCTAGTGAAGTGACCTCAACTGTGTATAATGCTGTCTCTGAGGGAACTCACTTTCTCGAGACCATAGAAACTCCAAAACATGGAAAACTTCTCCCCAAAGATGTGAACAGTTCCACTCCACCCAGTGTCACAGAAAAGAGCCGGGCAAGCAGACTGGCTAGTAGGAGAAGCAATGAATCAATGAGTGAGCCCAGAAAAGACTTTATGTATTCCAGAAGCCCAGGCGAAAATACTCAAGAGGTAAGATGTTTCTCTTTATTTTAATCAATATGCCTGCTGTCTATCCTGTCATTGCCATTCTCTCTACACTAAAAATAAAATGGTGAGTTCATTGAAAGGGGTATTTCTCCTTTCTCAGCAAGACACTTAGCTCAAAGTGTCTCCACTATGTTGAAAACATTCCTGATAAAAAAAAACTTGTGGGGTAAGTTCTTCAGTAAGAATAATGCTGCCTGGTAAAGCTATTTTCTAATATAGAATTTAAAACATATCAAATTATTTTGGGGAGAAAATCTTTAAAGGTGAATACTATTAATTTAAAAAAAAAACAACATAAAATGGAAGATCAAAAGAGCAGGAGTTAGAATTCATGTTTTAGGGAAAGATGTGCTTTAAAGGGCCAGAGAATGCAAGAGCAGCTTTGCCTCCTTGACAAAGGGATCACAGTGACTTGTAAAGTGAGGGAAATTGGAGCTGCTACCTAGAGTGACCTGCTGGACAAGTGAAAAGTCTGGGCAGTGATGTCCTGAGTTCATGTGTTTTTCTTCTCCGAGGCTAGACTTCCAGGCTCTACACAGTTTGCCTTGGCTAAGAGATGTCAACAGCAAGGCATTCGTTGGTATACATTAATGGGCAGAACTTAAGTATTTCATTCAGACCATCACATGGCTGTGCTAATTCTGAGATAATCCTACTAATGGTCATTCCCATAGCGACACTAGTAATAAAATCTGTTTGGAGTAGTATTGGCCAAGAATTGTGGGAGTTTGAAATAGCTTTTCAGAAGATGAGAAACAGGTGCTAGTGCCAATGGTTTTTTGTTTTTTTTTTTCGGTGAGAAGAGGGAGCTTACATTCTCCAGCAGAGATTCTCTTCAAACTAAGCTTGTCATCTAATTAAATTTTTGAAACAACTGCATGCTGGTGCAGGTTTGTTTCATTAACCAGTGTTGCCCTCTGCCAGAGTGAGTGATCTACAGAATTTAATATTCTCTCGTTGTGAAGTGTTATTTTGCCAAGTATGTACACAGCACTGAGCTGTTTTGCAAGTATGTACACAGCACTGAGCTAAGTTTTGCAAGTACCGTCATTGCTGGAAGAGTGACATGTCTTGGGCTTGTTTAGACCAGGTATGATAGCATTAGTACAGAAACAACATATTTTTCAATCTCTAATGAACCCATCTCGAAATTAAAGCTCATTTCCTTAATAGGTTTTACAGTGAGTTAATAGGCTTGCAAATGTCTATTTAATCCTCAAATTTTTTCCTCTTGAGGCTTTCTCCAGAGGTGACTAGTGACGTGATTGCTTCTCCCAAGAAGAAATATTCAGAAGAGACGGGAAATCACCCCTATGATACAGTATCTCCAGGTAGCTTGAGGCAAATTCCAAAGTACTTAAAGCAAAAGTCGATCTTGATTTACCTTAAGTAAAGAAGCAGCTTCAGTAAGGGAAGGGTGTTTTGTCAGCACCCTTGTGTTTTTTAGATTCTCTAATGGGAATGCCTTTTGGAGATTTTACCGTTTATTTCTTTTTTCTTCAGTGTTTCAGTGCCTCAAAGCTGCTTACATCTCATGGCATGGGCATCCAGGTTCCATTGAATGCCACCGAGTTCAACTATCTCTGCCCAGCCATCATCAATCAGATTGATACTAGATCGTGTCTGATTCATACAACAAGTGAAAAGAAAGCTGAAATCCCTCCAAAGACCTATTCTTTACAAATAGGTAAAATTGCCTTTTTTAGGTAAAAATCATTGCCAGTAGATGTATTTATGTTGTGCTTTTTCCTTCTGTTTACATCATCCTACTCATTTTTCAGCATAATTCCAAATATATCATTTTTTTTTCAAATATATCATCTTAATTGTTCTCTGCCTTGGATGTGAAGAAAGCAAATATGTTAACTTTACCCTTAAAAAAAAAAAAAACACCAGAAAATACGTTAGATAGTAGCTTGTCTGAGGTCCTCCCACAGGATATGTCAAGGTCATTCAAAAAGTTTGGGTTCTATTGAAACATATACATTACCATATGTAAGATAGATAGCTAGTGGGAAGTTGCTGGGGGTTTCCTTGGTGGCTCAGTGGTAAAGAATCCACCTGCCAATGCAGAAGATTTGGTTCCAATCCCTGGGTCAGGAAGAGCCCCTGGAGAAGGGAATGGCAACCCACTCCAGTATTCTTGCCGGGAGAATCCCATGGACAGAGCAGCCTGGAGGGCTACAGTCCAGGGGCTTGGAGAGTCAGACGTGGCTGAGCACGTACACACGGGAAGCTGCCATACAGCTCAGGCAGCTAAACCCAGCATGCTGTGAGGACCCAGAGGAGTGGGATGAGGGTGGGCTGGAAGAGAGCATCTATGACTGATTCACGTTGTTGTGCGGCAGAAACCAACACAACGCTGTAAAGCAGTTATCCTCCAGTTTAAAAATTGGGATTGCTAAAACAAATAAAAGTAAAAATTGGGATTGCTTTGTATGTTGTCACATTGTTTAGAGAATGGTCAGAGTTGTTTAGGAGCCTAATCCTAGTGTATTCTTATTAATACATGAAACCAGGATACCGTCTGCTATAGTGTAAGTTGTGTTGCTCAGAACCTATAATGAAGAATTGATTGCTTTGTTTACTGAGGATATTACTGATTCCCAGTTTCCTTTCCTTTCTTCCCTCCTTTCCTAACTTTCTTCTCTTCTCTCTCATAATTTAACTGTTACAAGAGTCTGTAAGCTCAGTTCCCAAGTGATTGAGAATTCATCCTTGGTAACCATACCTTCCCCTTCCTTCACCCTCAGTTCAGTTCAGTTGCTCAGTCGTGTCCGACTCTTTGCGACCCCATGGACTGCAGCACGCCAGGCTTCCCTGCCTGTCACCAACTCCTGGAGCTTGCTCAAACTCATGTCCATTGAATCAGTGATGCCATCCAACCATCTCATCCTCTATTGTCCCCTTCTCCTCCTGCCTTCAGTCTTTCCCAGCATCAGGGTCTTTTCCAGTGAGTCAGTTCTTCGCATCAGGTGGCCAAAGTATTGGAGCTTCAGCCTCAGTCCTTCCAATGAATATTCAAGGTTGATTTCCTTTAGGATGGACTAGTTTGATCTCCTTGCAGTCCAAGGGACTCTCAAGAGTCTTCTCCAGCACCACAGTTCAAAAGCATCAATTCTTCGACCGTCAGCCATCTTTATAGTCCAACTCTCACATCCATACAAGACTACTGGAAAAACCATAGCTTTGACTAGGTGGACCCTCACTGAAGAATGTTCTCCTAGGTTTATGCCTTTTGCCCAGAGGGTTCAGTCAATTTGATCCAGCTTCTTGGTTATTGCTCTCTTAACCACAGTTCTGTTCCACTGCGTTTGTATTTCTTTAGCTCCACTTTTTTTAAAAAATTTGCTTTTAATTGAAGGATAATTGCTTTACAGTATTGTATTGGTGTCTGCCAGACATCAACATGAAGCAGTCACAGGTGTAAGCTCCCCTGCTTTTACAGATGACTTTGTGCTGCTCCGCAGTCTCACTGTGAAAGTTGACCAGTTGTTTGCCTTGCCGTCTGCTCTGTCCCGTTCTGACAGCCTGGGTTGGTGGCTTCATCGCCATTTCCGTCATCAGTTTCCTGTCTTTGTTGGGCGTTATCTTAGTGCCGCTCATGAATCGGGTGTTCTTCAAGTTTCTTCTGAGTTTCCTTGTGGCCTTGGCTGTCGGGACACTGAGTGGTGATGCTTTCTTACACCTTCTTCCACACGTAAGTAAATAATTTATCCCATTAGTGTGTTTTATAGGGCTTCCCTGGTGGCTCAGCTGGTAAAGAATCCACCTGCAATGCAGGAGACCCCGGTTCGATCCCTGGGTTGGGAAGATCCCCTGGAGATGGGAATAGCTACCCACTCCAGTGTTCTTAGACTTCCCTCGTGGCTCAGCTGGTAAAGAATCCACCTGCAATGCAGGGGACCTGGGTTCGATCCCTGGGTTGGGAAGATCCCCTGGAGATGGGAACAGCTACCCACTCCAGTATTCTGGCCTGGAGAATCCCATGGACTGTATAGTCCATGGGGTCTCAGAGAGTCGGACAGGACTGAGAGACTTTGACCTTCAGTGTATTTTATTAAATTAATACTAAATATAATTAAACATTAATTACTAATATATATGCGTGCATCTATAAATTTATATACCGAGTATATATATTTTCAGTTTGTGCTCTGTATTGATATGTATAAAAGGCTAGAAATTTAGTTTCTAGGAGTGTTTGCGTGGGTTGTATCCATGACCCCCAGTCTCACCTTGGTGTGCACCTCACCTGTGTCCCTGACACGCAGTGACAGAAGCTCCTGCTGCACGCAGCTGCAGGCCATGGGGCAGGGTGCCTGGGTCTCAGGCACTGGCCAGGGCCCATTAGCCAGACTGGGCTTCTTGGACGCACGCTGAGAACAGTGGTAGGGGCTTTTCCACTGGAGGTCTGAGCAGTGGACACTATATGCTTGTTAAGACCTATCTGTGGCCACGGAGGAGCATTGAAAATACCCTCTACCCATACGTTATGGGGATCATTGGAGAATGTGTCTGTCTCTACACTGAGTAGATCTACTCCACTAAAGTGCCATCGTGCATTATATATGTTTAGCTCTGGTTCACTGCTGCTTGTTGGTAGTTTTACTTTTAATATCCTAAACTTCCCCTCATTCTGAAATAGAACGTTAATTGCATAATTCTGAATGGTTTCATGTTTGACGTTAATTATCTTAGCCAGTTTTTCTGACATGTGAAACGAATTTATAAAATCTGTATTATTTTGTCTTTAGTCCCATGCAAGTCATCACCATAGTCACAGCCATGAAGAAGCAGCAATGGAAATGAAGAGGGGACCACTTTTCAGCCACCTCTCTTCTCAAAACATGCAAGAAAATACCTATTTTGATTCTACATGGAAAGGGCTGACAGCTCTGGGAGGCTTATATTTCATGTTTCTTGTTGAACATGTCCTCACGTTGATCAAGCAATTTAAAGATAAGAAGAAAAAGGTAAGAAAAACTGTACTGAGTACTTTCTATGCATTGGACATTTATTTAGAGCAGCACTTGAACTGAATTGTTCGCAGAGCTTCTCCAAGGTGTATGATCTTCATTTGTGAGGAGGTTCAGTACCTTTTTGCTCCCAGAAGCATTCATGGGAGTCAGTAACCCTGGACTTCTGTGTCTTCAGTATTCCCTTCAGAATCAGAGGCAAAGGTAAATATATATATAAATAACCAAACAAGGCATTGATGGTGGCGGTGGTTTCACGGGTGTGTACTTACCCCACACTCTTTGAGTGATGTACAATAAGTATGTACAGCTTTTAAATTACTCAGTAGCTAAATATTATGTTTTGTTTGAAAGACTGTCTGACTCACTCAGTCTTGCCGTTTGCAAAGTGCCCCCAGAAATAATATGAAGCTCAACAGTAGGCTCTATATCTGGTGAAAATGTCTTTGGAGTTGCCTGTGGTTATCTTCCTCTTCCTATCTGATGTGACTGGGTAAATCAGTCAAAAGATTGTCCTCATGGGGACTGTTAATAATGGCATGTACACGTTTTGGACATTTGTATACTCATATTCTGATCATTTGAAGTTGACCAAGATGTTCTTGGAGTCAGAGTTCTGTATGATCATTTTTTTTCTCTGCAGCCCTGCTACTACTACTAAATTTCCAGTTTTGGTTTCTCTTAAATTGAGCAAGAGGTTACATACTTGTAAGGCTATTTTAATGTCGAATCTAGATTAATTTCCAGTTTTGGTTTCTCTTAAATTGAGCAAGAGGTTGCATACTTGTAAAGCTATTTTAATGTCGAATCTAGATTTTTTGTAAATTACAAAGATTTATACAGTGATTGCCTTATATAATTAGCAACTTGCCTTTGAATCTTTCAGAAGCATTCAACTTAAATTTTCATGACAGTAACTCTTCTCACTGGCGTTTCATAGTCTGAATAACATGTAATTAAATCGTGCACTTGCAATAGCAGGTATAGCTGGCATGAAGAGACTTGAAGACTAATGTAGTTGATTCTTGCTGAGCTTAGAGCTCAGATTGGGAACCCAGTGCATGTGAGCAGAGTAGCCTCCTCCATCCTGCAAATATTTGCCCTTACGGATTTTATAGTCACTAAAATCTCAAACTGCAGATTTTGAACCATTACTGAATGTCAATTTACAGGGACAAGTGAAGCAACAAGAGCTGACTTCTTAATCCAGGAAGTCTTCAATGTTCCCATTGTCCCTGCTGCTTCACTTGGATGGCTTTGAGGCTATATCCTCCTCCTTTGCATTCTCTGGGATTATTCTCACCTGAAAAAAAAAAATCATTTTAAGGAGATTTTTTGCAGGGGAGGGGTTTGTGTGTTTGTTTTACTGCATTTCTATTTCAAATGCCATTCTAATTTCAGTGTAATTTTCTAGTTTTACCTAAAGAGTGCTGTTTATTAACTTGGTGCTCTAACATAGGACTCTTAAGAGGTAGGCTGTCTGTGGTCTAATACAGATCAGTGTTTTTCAGACTCTTAAGGTTATAACTATTTGTGAGTTGTGAAATCAGTCTTGTGTCTTGACCCATGTTTTTAAATGCAACAGTGATATTACATTACATTCCACATATTACTCTGTGTTACATATATATTATTATGGATGGTAGTTAACAAAGTTTGAAATTTCTGTTCTCAAATAATTTCTGCTAGACTATAAGCTCTTAAGGGCCAGGACCGCTCCATCTTCTTTACTGCTATATCTCCAGTGCCTCGAATAGTGTCTGGCACATAGTAGAGGATTGGTAAATATTTGTTGAATATTTAAGAAGCATTAAGGGCTTCCCAGGTGGCAATAGTGGTAAAGAACCTGCCTGCCAGTGCAAGTAAGATGTAAGAGACTCAGATTAGATGCCTGAGTTGGGAAGATCTCCTGGAGGAGGACATGGCAGCTCACTTCAGTATTCTTGCCTAGAGAATCCCATGGACAGAGGAGCCTGGCAGGCTAAGTACGGTCCATAGGGTCGCCGAGTTGGACACAGCTGAAGCAACTTAGCACACACACACAAGAAGCATTAAATAGTAAATAAGCATAATTTCTAGGCAAAGACTTCCCACAGGTGTTTCACAAACATTTCATGTTCTCTTCATTTTTAGAAAATAGTGGTTTATCTTTTTTCAAGGGCATCCAGATCTTTAGTGTTACTTATGTAACAGTTTTAAATCTCATTTAGTTCTCTCAAAGAGAAAAAACTACTCCTTACATGGTAAGCATTGGTAGCTCTTCAGGCCCATCAGTTTAGTTCAGTTCAGTCGCTCAGTCATGTCTGACTCTTTGTGACCCCATGGACTGCAGCACACCAGGCTTCTCTGTCCATCACCAACTCCCAGAGTTTACTCAAACTCATATCCATTGAGTCAGTGATGCAATCCAACCATCTCATCCTCTGTTGTCCCCTTCTCATCCCACCTTCAATCTTCCTAGCATCAGGGTCTTATAATGGAACATTTTACCTAGGATTTCCCTTAAGACATCCATATATGTCAATCTCTTTATTCGAATTAGGGTTGAATCACATACTTGGTGTGTAGTTAGGCTCTTATGATGCTTCTACCTCAGACTTTCTTTCTACCGGATTCTCAGATTTCTTTAGGCTGGAAACCTGAAAATCATCTATGAATCTCCCTCATCCTCATATCCAACCTAGTTTTATTAAGTGTATCCAGAAGTGAAATTATTTGCTTCTCTCCATCTCCCTTGCTGTTGTTCTGGTCTAAGCTCAGCTTACCTGGCTGACAGCAGTTGCCTCCTGACTGGACTGTCTGCATTATTTTGTTATCCTCTTCTAATCCAGAGTGGAGGGGGCAGAGTGATTTGTTTAAATGAGTCTGATGAGGTCGGACACCACTGCTGAAAATCCTTTCTCTCGTACATCTCATTGCTTATAGGATGAAATCCATAGCTTCATGATGGATGAAGTCCTTGATAGGATGAAGTCCATAGTCCATGGTTTGCACTGTCTGGACTCCCTGCTACCCAGCCTCACTTCTAGCCACCCAGTCTCTGACCTACCAGACCCCACCCACCTTGCACTTCTTTCAGTTAAAGAAGGGGCTGCTCCCTTTCTTCTTTAGGATCCTTCCACATGCCATCTCCCTGCCTGGATTAATCCTCCCCACTCTTCTCCAGCAAACCCCTGCTCATCTTTAGGTCTTGGCATAAGCATCACTTTCTCAACGAATCCTGTCATGGGAGTTATTTAGGTCTTGTTATACACTCTTGTAGTACTGTGAGTTTGTCCTTTGTAAAGTGTATCAAAGATTGCAATCAAAGAATTGTGTAATCATTACCTGTATAAAACTTCCCTCCCTGTGGATTATAAGCTCCATGGGAACAAGGACTGTGTGTATCTTGGTTTATGGTGTATTGATGTATTGCCAGGATTCAGCACAGGAAACATTAGAGGCTCTTAATACTTGTGGAATGAAAGAATTTGTTAAAAACTAGAGATATTCATTGCTCAACAAGAAATGAAACATCAATTAAGTGATTTAAAGTATCCTGAATTCACTTATTTTCACAAATATTTAAGTACTTTCTGTGTATGAGGCATCCTGCCAGAGGTAGGTATAAAGATTGGTATGTGCTTCCTTTTAAAAACTCTTATAACCTAAAAATGTGCAGGTATTTTATATACTGTTAGAGTTAAAAATGAAATCTCAGTTATGGTGGGGATTGAGTCATATTCAAAAGATACTGCAAATAAGAAGGAGATTATTTTTGTGATAGTTTTCCTTATCTTAAATATTCTACATAAGTCGGTAATACACAGGCCCCATTGTTCTAACAGTGACCTTCATTCTTGGGTTCTGAGATATGGATAGTATCTCAAGTATGGTATTCAGTTGGTAAAAAACTAGTGATAAATTCAAGACTGACTACTAGAGATTTGTTTCCAAAGAGAAAACTTGGAAATGGTGTTTTATGACAGCAAAAGTATTTTAGTTTTAGTAACAAATACATATCCGTATCACAGTATAATTTAAAGTTATAAGAAGTGTGGCAAGTATGAGGTTTCATTGCCCAAAAGAGGCATTGGAGGAGACCAGGCAGTTGGTTAGCAGATCACTACCTGCCAGGAGGACTTGCCTGTTCTGAACTGATGGCCTGAGGCAGAGCTCAGCTTTATGTGTGTATGAGTCATCTGGAGACCTAGTTAAAATCCAAGTTCTAATCCGTTTGCTCTGGGGTGTGGCCGAGACCATGTGTTTCCAAACAGCTCCCAGGGGATGCAGTGCTGTTTTCATGGACATGCAGAAAGATGAGTGTGTGATTTTTCTTTCATATTACTGATGTATAATCCTTTACTTTTCTGAACAGTTTGTGCCTAAAACAAACTACTAGGTGCTATGAAGTTAAGTGCAGGCCTTGCCCTTAGATGGGGTTTATTCCTTTAGAAGTCTGTTACTCTGTTGTCTTTTTCTATGAAATCTTTTGTTTAACTGTTTAACTGAAGGTGTATGCATAAGTAAACCACTTATTTCAAGTATTGCTTTTCCTTGCTGTTACAGAATCAGAAGAAACCTGAAAATGATGATGATGTGGAGATTAAAAAGCAGCTGTCCAAGTATGAATCTCAACTTTCAACAAATGAGGAGAAAGTAGATGCAGATGATCGTAAGTCCTTATAAATCTGAGAGCTAGAGGGAGTCCATTGCTCTGTGATTTGCAGGCAGCTTGGACTGTCTGGAAGAGATGGGACCATATACCACCCCCATTAATATTCCCCTGCTTTTTTTTTTTTGACTGTGCCACGAGGCTTCTGGGATCTTAGTTTTCCAACCAGGAATCAAACCTGGGCCCCAGTAGTGAAAGTGCCAAGTCCTAACCACTAGACCGCTAGGGAATCCCTCCCCTTTTTAAAACTTATACTTTCTTTTAATTGCCAGTGAGTTGGTTATTTCTATGTATATTTATATGTCGTATTTCTATAATTTTTTTATTTTGAGGTAAATTCAAACTTAGAGAAAAGTTCCAGGAATTCCTCTGCCTCTTCCTGTATTCCCCAGTTATTTTATGTACATTTATCTTTCTCTCTTTCTCTGTGTATGCATACTACTCATTTTCTTCTCTAAACCATTTGAGAGTAAGTTACAAGTGATGCTTCTTTGCTTCTAAATACTTGTTCTGTTTCCTAAGAGAAAGGACATTCTCTTGTGCAATTACAGGTCAGTGATCAACACCAGGAAATTAAAGCTGATACAATGTCATTTTCTAGCCTATAGACCATTTTCATGTTTTTCCAATTGTCTTAATTTCTTGATACTCCCCTAACCCCCAAAAGGAAAAAAAAATGATCCAGAGTATAATTCAGGGTCAAATGCTGCCTCTTATTGTCCCTCATTTTGAGTTTGTCTGTTGTTTTTGCATTCCGTTGATCAGTTTGGGCAGGAATAGCACAAAGTATTACATCCTTTTCAGTGACGTGACCTGGCTCCCACCATGATGCTCGGTCACAGAGCGATGATGGTAATTTTGATCACTTGGCTAAGGTTGTGTCTCCCGTGTTTCTTCACTGTAAAGTTACTGTGTTACTGTGTTTCCTAGAACTTGTTAGTGTGGCATTTCTTGTTGGACAGGCTCCGTTAAAATTAAAATTTTAAACCAAATGGCTCATGATGACCTTTGAAGTCCTGCCCTGCCTCCACTCTCCCTGATGGTTCACTCTGACCAGCCACACAGCCTCCTTTTCATCCTGTGAGCTTACCAGGTCTTTCTCAGAGGCTGATATTCAGTTTCTTCTGCTTGGAGCACTTTTCTCCCAGGTCTTCATATAAATTCCTCCTATTGTTTCAATCTCAACTCAGACATCTCCTTTTTAGAGGCCTTCCTGGATCATCCCAATACAGAGGTCTCCCACTCACTCTCCTCATATTCCCCTTTTCTATTTTCTTCCCATGCCGGCCAGTGCCTTAATTACCTTATTTATACCTGTGTTTCCTTGTTAAGTGCCTGTCTCCCCCAAGAACATGAGCTTCCTGAAGGCAGAGACTTTGTCCTGCTCCACTGTGTCCTAGTGCCTGGCCAAGAGTAGACGCTCAGTTGCTGACTGAGGAGGAAGAACAACTTTATTGTTGCTACTGGGCAGTCCTAAGATTTCCTATCCACCCTTTGTTTCCAGTATGCTGGTCTTCTTTAAAGAGCAAGCGAAGTACTCTCACTTGTCTTCCCGCACCTATTCTGTCTTCAGAATTTCCAGTGGGATTTATAATGATGAGAGGAAATAACTTTTAAAATTGGACCATAGTGTCAGGAATGCTCCCAGGAAAGTTGATGCCAGTATATAAAAAAGACAAAACAAAACCTATTGTTGCAGTTTACTTTACACAGATAAATATTTCTTGGTGATGATGGTATTCCACATTCTTCTGCTTTTCCTTTTTAATTTTTGTTTGGCTACAATACATGGTTTGCAGGATCTTAGTTCCCTGACTGGGGATTGAACCCAGACCCCTGACAGTGAAAGCGCAGAGTCCTAACCACTGGACCACCAAGGAATTCCCCTCTTTTGCTTTCCCTTGAATTTTGAAAGAGAGGAACTCAGATGACAGAATTATGCGTGTTTTTTATTTCCAATTTTTCTGGAATATTTTTCTAAAATATTTTAAATGTCAGCAGTGAAATATATTTCTAAAATGTGTGTGCTTCTTTTATAATCAGGAAAAAAAACTATCTTGAAAAACATAGGGAAGCAAAAGAATTTAAGGGAGGATCTGGGGCGGTTACTGAAGGTTACCATTTAAAATCCATTCTTAGTGAAATCATTTAACTTCTAAAATTCACTAAAACGTACTAATGTTTTTCATCAACAGTACCCTAAAGTCTAGTCTGCCAGGTATATGTGAGAGAGTTGACATGCTTTGAAGTCTTGTTGACTCTGTCAGTGGAGATTTTGAAATGTGCGCATTAACAGAGCCATTTGACTTTGTCTCAATGTCCTTTATGTTTACATCTAGGACCTGAAGGCTATTTACGAGCTGACTCACAAGAGCCCTCCCACTTTGATTCTCAGCAGCCAGCAATCTTGGAAGAAGAGGAGGTCATGATAGCTCATGCCCATCCGCAGGAAGTTTACAATGAATATGTCCCCAGAGGGTGCAAGAATAAATGCCATTCACATTTCCATGATACACTCGGCCAGTCTGATGATCTCATCCACCACCATCATGACTACCATCACATTCTCCATCACCACCACCACCAGAACCACCACCCCCACAGCCACAGCCAGCGCTACTCTCGGGAGGAGCTGAAAGATGCTGGCATTGCCACACTGGCCTGGATGGTGATCATGGGGGACGGCCTGCACAATTTCAGCGATGGCCTCGCAATCGGTATGTCTCTGCGTTTCGGCCCTTGTTCGTTTATCTCTGAAAATGCCACTTTAAGCTGCTGATTTTAGCAAAGGGTAGGTTGGTTTGATAAGGCTGTTAACATCCAAGGTTTTCAAAATGTTATCTCTTTGACTACTTTGACAGTGATGTACTCGATAAATGTGAGATAAGATGAAACTGTGCTTGGCCCTTTAACTAAATTGTAGCTGCCAAAAGTTACTTTCCCTTATCTGCAATATAAATAGTATGCGTTAAAGTGAAAGTATCTTTTCCACCATCTTTTCTTTTATGCTAAAGGAACCTTCATCTATCTGAAAAGTTTAAATTACTAATCCCTACCCAAAGAAGAATTATAGACTTTTGTAAGTTGTGCTACCATTGAGAGATAATAGAATATTTACAAATTGTAGTAATTTAGTGCAGGAAGGAAGGGGCCTCCCAGGTGGCACAGCTCAGCAGTAAAGAATCCACCTGCAAAGCAGGAGAAGCAAGAGACAATTCCTGGGTCAGGAAGATCCCCTAGAGAAGAGAATGGCAACCCACTCCAGTATTTTGCCTGGGAAATCCCATGGACAGAGGAGCCTGGTCAACTACAGTCCATAGGGTTGCAAAGAGTCGAACATGAATGAGCAGGTGTGCACACAGACACACAGAATTCTAGAAGGAGCCATGGAAATAATTACAGAGCAGACAGGCGAGGTCCAACAAGGCAGTGTTGTTTTGTCGCCCAGCTGAGATGAGCCCAGGCCCTGTTCCCTTTACTGTGCTCTTCCTCCTCTGCACCATGCACTTCCTCCTCTGCCCCATGCTCTTCCTCCTCTGTACCATGCACTTCCTCCTCTGCACCATGCTCTTCCTCCTCTGCACCATGCACAACTTAAGCAACACCGAAGGATGTGCAAATGCTCAGTCATGGTTTTACAAACAATCAGTTGTATAACGTGTCATCTTTTAAAGGCAGGGAGCTATTTGTCTTAAACGTCCCTTATCAAGACATTGAAAGAATAAATGTAAAAAGTCTAATTACCAGTGGATTCCTCTGAGGCTAGGAAACATATTTGTACTCTTGATTCCTGAGGTTTTTTCCCCCTAAACCTTTTAAATCAGTTTGTTTTATATTTCTCCATAAGTGCTTTATGTGGTAGCAGTTACTTCTCAGGTTTGTGTAAGATCATTTAATCACTCTAAGGCACAGCCCAGCCTTCCCTTCTCAATCATATCTGCTTGTGCTTCTTTGGGAAATTTAAGCCTAATTGAATGTAATCTAAGATTAGTTATGAAGAAGTTACAGAGTGCAGTTGAGAAAGTTCTGTTTATTCACCACCAGACTATAGTTTATTTCTTTTACCTCATTGTATGTGCTATACAAATTTTAAAAATACACACCCACAAAATAATGCAGTGATTTTTTTTTTTTTTTTACACAGGTGCTGCTTTTACTGAAGGTTTATCGAGTGGTTTAAGTACTTCTGTTGCAGTGTTTTGTCATGAGTTGCCTCATGAATTAGGTAAGAGAACCCTGTAGATGGTATTTTCCAGGTGGGTAGCATATCTCAGTGTCACTGGCTTTTGCTAATGATAGTTTCCAGCAGGCTTTCTCATTTATGGCTTCTCGTAAGTCTACTATTCTAGCTAGCTTTGTTTCTTACTGAGGATGAGTCTGTTTCCAGCCAGAATTCTAGCCCTGCAACTGTGATTACACAATTGCCTGTGTGGGGTTGCCAAACAGATCCGTGAACCCCATCTCTGGTCCTCTTCCCCTGCCAGATACCTTCTTGTACCAGCGTGTGGTGACGTCAGGCCCTGCTTTCGTTGTGTACAGAATAGGAATAAGACCACAGGCAAATAGAGTCATCTTCCGTTAACAGAACTTGACAAAGAGAATTTCATTGGAATTAAAAAGAAAGAGAAGTTGATGAGTTGTGTTTTGAATATTCTTTTTCTCTGTCACCAGGACTTAAAGCCTTCCCAGAGTTGCCCTGGTTCTGCGTGTGTGTCCTGTTTTTCTTCTTACGGATGGCTGCACACCTGTAGCACCATTTTCACTTTTGTCCCTTGGCATGTGTTCTGCCATTTAGAAGGCCTCCCACCTTCCTGTTCAATGCTTGTAATCCTCAACATCTGATTTGTGCTCCACATTCTAGATCCTTCAGGCTCCATGAAGCCTCTCTTAAGTACTTTGATTTTAATTTCTTTTCTTCTTTTATAACCAGAACATTAGATTCTTCAGCTCTTAATTATAATGTATATTGCCTTCTTTAATCATTTGCTGATCATTTCCTGTGTGTTCTCTACTCCCTCTTCCTGCTTGTGGTCAGTTAAAAGCCCCTTGAAGACAGTGCAAGAGCACAGTAGTAGATTCTTGGTACTGATATTCTTTGACAAACAAGAGACCTTAAGAAAAACTTTGGATAAAAGATATCTTAGTTTATAAAACTGTTCAGTTCAGTCACTCAGTCGTGTCTGACTCTTTGCGACCCCATGAATCACAGCATGCCAGGCCTCCCTGTCCATCACCAACTCCTGGAGTTTACTCAAACTCATGTGCATCGAGTCGGTGATGCCATCTAGCCATGTCATCCTCCGTCGTCCCCTTCTCCTCCTGCCCCCAATCCCTCCCAACATCAGGGTCTTTTCCAAAGAGTCATCTCTTCACATGAGGTGGCCAAAGTATTGGAGTTTCAGCTTCAACATCAGTCCTTCCAATGAACACCCAGGACTGATCTCCTTTAGGCTGGACTGGTTGGATCTCCTTGCAGTCCAAGGGACTCTCAAGAGTCTTCTCCAACACCATAGTTCAAAAGCATCAATTTTTTAGCACTCAGCTTTCTTCACAGTCCAACTCTCACATCCACACATGACCACTGGAAAAACCATAGCCTTGACTAGACAGACCTTTGTTGGCAAAGTAATGTCTCTGCTTTTTAATATGCTATCTAGGTTGGTCATAATTTTCCTTCCAAGGAGTAAGCGTCTTTTAATTTCATGGCTGCAGTCACCATCTACAGTGATTTTGGAGCCCCCCAAAATAAAGTCTGACACTGTTTCCCCATCTATTTCCCATGAAGTGATGGGATCAGATGCCATGATCTTAGTTTTCTGAATGTTGAGCTTTAAGCCAACTTTTTCACTCTCCTCTTTCACTTTCATCAAGAGGCTTTTTAGTTCCTCTTCAAACTGTTAGGGTGTTTTATACTGATTAACTCTTGTTAACCCTGGGTGATTCTTAATTTTGCCTTTTTTTTTTTTTCCACTCCTCAAAAAATTGGAGGATTTCTTAAATCTGGAAAGTCTTTTGGGTATGTGTCTTAAAAATGATTTTTTTAATGCTTTTAATTGCCTTTTTGTGTTTTCTGTTAAAGGTGACTTTGCTGTCTTACTCAAGGCTGGCATGACTGTTAAGCAGGCTGTTCTTTATAATGCCCTGTCAGCCATGCTGGCGTATCTTGGAATGGCCACAGGAATTTTCATTGGTCATTATGCTGAGAATGTTTCTATGTGGATATTTGCACTTACTGCAGGCTTGTTCATGTATGTTGCTCTGGTTGATATGGTAAGTTTTTAAGAAGTCAAATTTCAGAATTGACTAACAATGAAATAGAAATATTCAGTGAAAGCATTTTTTAAAAGATTGTAGAATAAATGTAGTTTCAGTGAGATTCTGTGCTCAACAAAGTAGCATATAAAATATAAGTCCTTACTGGTTTATCTTTTTGGATTGTTGCTCACACGCACGTCTTTGTCCTGCCTAATGTGTATCAGGATAGATAGACAGAAGTATCTACCCGCTTCTGCTGTGTCTTTCTGAGAGTAGAGTTTCAGTAATCAGGCAAAAAATTGAACATAGATTTGTGAGAAACCTAGTACAAGCCACATACTGTTGGCAAACTGTGTATACATCAGAACACTTAAAGGATCCTTACTAACAGATAAAGGAGTTATGTCTTTTTGTCACCAAAGTCCACCTAACAGTCTCAGCCAGTCTTACTGCTAAGATTATATTTTATATGTTAAAAGATCTATATCTCTGAACTTTGAGTGAACCACATGTTATGTACAAATACAGACAGTAAGCAGGGTAACCAGTGTAGCTCTCCATTTTACAGTGGAGCAAACTGGATCAGTTTAATTTTGACTTGCTGAGCAGACCATGAGTAATCATTGTTAATTAACTGTTAGGAAATTCTATGTGACATTATTAGCTAGAGTCATGTTTTAGAAAATTGACTGATGGTATATCCAGCTACATATAAAGCTAGTACAGTGTCCTGGAAATGCTTCTAAAATCTATGGTTCTGGAAACTTAAAGGTTGCTCTTTGTTTGTTTGTTTTAAAGGTACCTGAGATGTTGCACAATGATGCTAGTGACCATGGATGTAGCCGCTGGGGATATTTCTTTTTACAGAATGCTGGGATACTTTTGGGTTTTGGAATTATGTTGCTTATTTCCATATTTGAACATAAAATTGTGTTTCGTATAAATTTCTAATTAGGGTTTAAATGCTAGAGTAGCTTAAAGCTATAGTTTGTGTCTGTAGTTTGAATAGGTCATAGGGAGATGAGTCCGTACGATGTGATCCGTAGCACTTAAGGTTAGCGGATTTTGTGATTTTTTTTGTATTGAATATTGTCATTTGTTATGCTTATAAGGTCAGTTATGGCGGTAACAAAAAGGTACGTTTTAATATTTAAGTTATTCTGTTTTGGGAATATAAGCTGTATGTGCAATTTACCAATATTACCAGTTTATTGTATAAACAAGAGATTTGGCATGACATGTTCTGTATATTTCAGAAAAAAATATCTTTAATTTTTTTTTCTAGAACTAATTTAATATAATGATTCCCATGCTGGATTTTAGGCCTCTGAAGAACTGCTGGTGTTTAGGAGTAAGAATACACATGAAGCTTAAGATACCAATAAAGCTTAAACTGAATTTAAGCTAAGAAATAAGGAAGAAAAAGAGAAGAATCTATATGAATTAAGAAGTTCTAGATTTTGCATAAAAAATCAAAACTGGTTATTAAATAGAAGGGGAAATTTAGATATAAATGAAAAGGCAGTATTACTAAAGTACAGAGTGAGTACATTCATAAACATTTTTGTCAGAGTATTAATTTCCAATTAAACCTCAGCACTTTTTACTAATTTAGTTGTACATTTAACTTTATATAGCAAAAGCATTAAATATATTTAATAATTTGCAAAATACATCATTTGACCAGGAAATTAGAATTTTAAAATATGTGTGGAGATATGCCAGAAGAGTATGAGTAAGTTTATGTATTGTCCAAAGACTTGGATATCACCAAGTTATATATCACCCAAAGGTACATTATTGGATGTTCTAGTTATCTGGTTTACCACTTGTCAGCATATTAAAATTTCAATATATGTAAGAACATTAAAACAATACTGATTATAATTTGACTTCTTGGATTCAGAAAGTAATTTCGTATCTTTCAGTGCTTCAGTGTTGTGAGCAGTTGTCATTTTTATATATAGTACTTTAGATGTACTAGGGTTGTATGACATTCTCTAGTTGTTGCTTTTCTACAAAATAAATTCCCATGTCAGCTTCATATCATATATTCTGATTTTCTTTGCTTGTTTTTTTTTTACCATCTTAGCCATTTTTAAGCATAGAGCTCAATAATTTTACATATATTCACAATGTTATTCAATTTGTCTCCAGAACTTTTTCACCTTGCAAAACTGAAACTCTTCATTTCCTTCCCATAGCACCTGGTAACCACCATTCTACTTTCTATTTCTATGAATTTGAGATGTCTGATTTTCTTAAGTATAACCCAGATTATATATACTTGTCGATTCATTTGTATTATTGTATTAGGTGGCTTTATTCAATCTTTTGCATTTTTATCACAAAGGGCACTTCAGAAAATACTGGTCCACAGTTTGTTCAAAGCTGTCCCTAACTTTAAAAATCCCCCCCAAAACAAAAAACCAACCCCAGAACCTAAGCTTGAGAAGAAGCACTGATATCCTAGATTCTAAGGAGAATCAAGAACAACTGGGGAAAAAAAAAAAAAAAAAACTGGGCAAGACTGTACAGCTGTGTACTGAAAGACAATTTTGGACCAGCATTTCTGTTCCCCAAACCAAGTGAGAGGGGTCTGACTAATGAGAATTACTTGGATTGGGGTGGGCGAGGGGAGTGCTTGAAAGGATGAAATGGGACATCTTCTCAGGCTAAATGATTACTGTGGTCTAGAAACCCACAGACCCGCCCTGATGCCACTGCTGGGTCAGTGCAAGATGAAATTCTGAACACTGGAAACTGTTCCTCCAGGAGTTTGGGAGACGACTTGTACCTACTTCTTTCACAGAAATTTTGAAGATTGAAGGTGTGCTGGACCAGCTCACAAAACAGGATGATAGCAACCATAGCTTGCACTCCAGTTTGAACTCACTAGTGAGTATATAGAAGATTTAAGGAGTTGGTTCCCATGGCTCCGTATGGGAGAGATTGAAGATCAGAGGACAATGCAGAAACTAGAATATGAACCAAAGGCTGTTTGGGGGAAAACACTTAACAGACTGATAGAAAATGAAAAGGTACAAATAAATAATATCTTGAATAAGGAAGGAGACATAAATAGAGATGTAGTAGATCCAAACAATCGTTAATTGTTTGGATAATTAACATAATTAACAATCATTAATTATGAATATTTCTGGAAAAAAAATCAATGTCCACTCCAGGAAAAAATTGAAAATCAGTTACTGTTAAAATGACCACCACATCACCATTGTCCCAAGCCTCTCTCCCTTTTGCTGTAGATTTACCAAAACTTCAAGCAACACATATTACCCAAGTAGATTATGGGATTAGAAAAAAAGAATATTCATCATGTTAATTGAGATTACTGTAACTTGATACAAAACCATTCTGGGAAAGGCAACCTGCCTGGTACCTTAATAGTCCCTATACATTCTTGCAGGTAAGTCGAGAATGAAAGGCCCTGAAAATTCTGTTTGAGCCAATTTTCAGTGAACAGCCTTGAAAGATGAGGTGGAAGACAAAGAGCAGATCTTGTATAGGAGAGATGGTTTCCCCAGGCTCAGTGTTCCTCAGTGCCACACCAACTCAGCATGTGCACCATCCACCTGCGACCTTTCCCTTGGCTGCTATGGGACCTGAGGCTCAAGAGGGTCTCAAATGCTGCTCATGCTGCTTGCTATGCTATGAACAGTAAAGTCCATTGTGTCCCAGAAGTTCATGTCTTATGTCCTAATCCATAAGACAAACAGGCTAACTTATAGCTTCTAAATTGGATAAAATTCCAGACCTTTACAGAACCTCACAGGATAGTACAAAAAGGGAAAGCAAAAGTGAATGCATGGTCACTTCAGTCATGTCTGACTCTGCAACATTATGGACCATACGCAGCCCACCAGGCTCCTCTGTCCATGGGATTCTCCAGGCAAGAATACTGGAGTGGGTTACCATGCCCTCCTTCAGGGGATCTTCTCAACCCGGAAATCAAACCCACGTCTCATACATCTCCTGCAAGAATCCTAAATGAAACAGCTAATCAAACTCAGAAGTGTATGTTTCAATCAGTAAGGTGGCCCTGGGAATACAAAGATGCCTAAGCAGAATACCCATTACTGTAATAAACCATGTTAACAGAGTGAAGTGGAAAGGTATACAAATTTAATATAATTCTCATTCAAGATTAAAGAAAAGCATTTCAGCATATTAGAAACAAAATTACTAGAATTTGAGAAGTCTAGAGACTTGTCCCCTTGAATATCCCCATCCTTTGAAGCCAAGGATTTAAGAAAGAGTAGCAGTGGAGAGGAAGGGAGATATGCAGAGAGGGAGGAACTGATAAAGACCAAAAAGAAACTCCTATTCCAAAGATGGAGTGGCGCTTGAAACTCCCAACTTATATGCTTACATAAAAAGTATAATGAATATTAAAGGAAGTAGCAAGCTGCCACAATTCTATAGCTATGTCATTGATGTCTAGCATGGATTTTTTTTTTTCCTTTTTTAAAAAAAGTAAAAGACAAAAAATTCACTGTTAAAACCAGTTTTAAGTACAGTTCAGGGGCTTTACATACATACGTTCACATTGTGAAGTCATCACCCATATTCAGCTCCAGAATTCTTTCCTCATCCCATACTGAAATGTGCATTGCATGCTAAGTTGCTTCAGTTGTGTCAGACTCTGCAACCCTATGGACTATATATAGCCTGCCAGGCTCCTCTGTCCATGGAATTCTCCAGGCGAGAATACTGGAGTGGGTTGCCAAGCCCTCCAGGGGCTCTTCCCCATCCAGGGATTGAACCCACATCTCATGTCCTGCAGACAGATTCTTTACCACTAGCGCCACCTGGGAAGCTGAACTCTTTAAACAATAATTCCCTTTTTTCCCCTCCTCCAGCTCCTGATTACCATGGCCCTACTTTCTGTCTCTACTTACTGCTTGACTATTCTAGGTACATCGTATAGATGGAGTCATACAATACAATATTTGCCCACATGAGTCTGGCTTATTTTGCTTAGTGTAACGTCTTCAAATTTCATCCATGTTGAAGCATATGTCAAAAATTCTCTCCTTTTTAAGGCTCAGTAATATTTCATTATATGTATATAGCACATCTTGTTGATCCATTCACTCATCGGTGAACATTTGAGTTGTTTCCATTGTTTGGCTATTGCAAGTACCCTACTCTTAATATGAACATAAGTACAGATATCTGTTTCCCTGCTTTCAGTTCTTTGAGGGGTATATAATATACCCAAAAGTGAAATTGCTGGATCATATGGTATATCTATGTCTGTTTTTTAAGAGTTGCCATATGGTTTTCCACAGTGACTGCACAATGTCACATTCCCACTAGTACCAGGGTTCCAGTTTTTGGAACCTCACCAATATTTGTTTTCTGTTTGTTTGTTGCTTTTTGGTAGTCATGTCTCATTGTGGTTTTGACTTCCATTTCCCTAATGTCTAATGGTGTTGAGCATCTTTTCATGTGCTTATTGGACATTTGTATATGTTATTTAGAGAATTGTCTATTCAGATTTCTTTGCCCATTTTTAAATTGAGTTGTTTGGTTTTTGTTGTTGAGTTGTAGGAATTCTTTACATATTCAGAATATTAATCTTTTATGAAATAATGTAATTCACAAATATATTCTCTCACTCTGAATTGCTTTTTTACTCTGTTCATACTGTCATTCAGCACACACACAAAAATTATTTTGATGAAGTCCAATTTGTTTTTTCTTTAGTTGCCTGTACCTTTAGTGTCATGTCTAAATCATTATCATGTCCAATATTATGAAGGTTTCCCCCTATGTTTTCTTCTAAGGGTTTTATAGTTTTAGCTCTTTGACCCACTTTGAGTTAATTTTTCTGAATTAACTGTGTTACATAAAGGTCCAACTTCATCCTTTTGCATGTGGATATCCAATTTTCCCAGCACCATTTTGTGGCTACCCTTTCCTCCGCT